CCTGCTTCTCCTTCTCCCGCTCCCCCCCTGCTTCTCCCTCTCCCACTCCCCCTGCTTCTCCCTCTCCCTCTGCCGCTCCCCCTGCTTGTGCGCTCTCTCTAGCTCTTTCTCTCAAATAAAAAATAAAATAAAAAAAAATAAAAAAAAGGTGTCCTTTGGGATACTGCCAGGTATTTGGGGTGAAATGGGAGGCAGAGGACTCGGTGCTCATGTAAGCAGAATGGCAGCGTGCTGGATGGGGTGTTTAGTGGTGGGGTCCTCGTTCACACTGGAAGCATTGGGTGGGTATGGAAATGGAACAGTGACACGAGGTCCCTGCTTTTCCTGAACTTCGGGAGGGGTGTTAGGAAACAGCTTGAAGAGAAACAGAAATCCTCTGACAGCTAAGAATCATTGAATTCAGGTTCATCTAATCCAGAGATGGTTTGAACATGTCCAGGAGACCAAACCCACCATCATGGTCACCTACAATGGTGACTTTTTTGACTGGTAAGTCTGATATCTTGTTAGTAACTAAAATGTGCTTGGGAGGGGATGTTGCATGGCAGTGTGAATATGCTCATTTACTAATGGTGAAGACGGAAGAGTTTGGGAGAGAAGGGGGGGGTGGGAGGAGCGCCGCCTGGTAGCCTGAGGGGCACCTCATCCTGTTTGAGGAGAAGTGGGTGTGGGGGCTCCTGGGTCTGCTTGGGGATCTGCTGGAGGCAATCTTCCTGTCTCTGAGGGAACTAAAGGGTAACTGCCTGTGTGCCCATCTGTCTGCCCTCATCCCTAGGCCGTTTGTGGAGGCCAGAGCGGCAGTCCATGGACTGAACATGTACCAGGAGATAGGGTTCCAGAAGGACAGCCAGGGGGAGTACAAGGCCTCCCAGTGCATCCACATGGACTGTCTCAGGTAGGCCCCGCAGCTCATCGCACTGTCTCAGGAGGGCTTTCTGTGACTGGGGTCCAAAACTCCCTTCTTGCACACGTTAGTCCTGTCCACCTCCCTTTGAAGGAGGAAAGTGGCTTCTGAGAAGCAGCTCCCGTTATCTTTGAGGACAGTGGGTGCGGTTCTGGCTGGGTCCCGGGGATGTGCTTTCGTTGTGTGCTCATTTCCCTTCTACCAGGAAACACATTAGTGTCAGACCTGGTGGGAAAGCCAGAGCAGGAAAGCCAGGTTGGGTGAGGTCTTGGTGCCGTGGGAGCCCCCCACAAAGGTGGGGCTGCTGCAGCCAGGGGTGTCCAGGCTGGAGATAGGCATTCGAGGGGGCTCAGGGTGCTGAGATGGAAGGCTGGAGAGAACGGAGGTCTTGTGGGCCTCTTGTATCCTGTAGGGAGGTGAGTTTTGAGGAGCCACTGACACGCTTAAAGCTTGATCTGTTTTCTGGGCAGCCCTGGCGTTATGGTGCATGTGTTGGAAGGGGCAGGCCGAGTCATAATGAGGATGGGATTGCAGAGGGGTGGACTTGGGGATCCATGGACGGGGGGCCAGGGGCATGTGAAGCACAGGGAATATTGGTGTCTGGGGGAGGAAGCAGGTCTGGGAACCCCATTCACATGGGGCATGGTGATCAACGGTTTCTCAAGAAGAGAAGTAAAGGACAGGTGGGGGTCTTCAGAGGAGGCGGCAGTCCTGGGAGGCCACAGGGGGCATTTCTGGGGACGAGGTTGGCAAGAGTTCGGAGGCCGAGGGAGGTGAGACTCGATGCAGTGAAGAATGAGTTCTGGGTGCCGGAGACACAGCTATGTCCGTCACGGGACTGAGTTGAGGGCAGGACGTGGAGATGGGCACGGGGGTGAGGGGCACAGGGTGCTCCCAGTTTCCATGCTGAAGAGACTGTGTGAGGGCAGAGGAGGGGTTCAAAAGGAGGGCCCGAGGGTGGAGGGCAGGGCAGACTAGCACACCCACAGGACAGGCTGGGGGGTGGAGGGAGGCCGGAGGGTGTGGCTTCCCAACCCCTCATGCTTACATTTCTCCGTGGGGTAGGAAGGGAAGGCCGTGGGGCTCGGAGGACCGGCCCTGGCATTTCCTCGTGGGGGCACATCCGTGGGGTTGGCTGGATCTGGGTGAAAGGCTTCGTGAGAGGTCTGCTCCCTGTGGGGTCTCAGTGGAGATCCGCAGGGTGCCATTAGGACTCCGTCTTCCCGGGGTGTGTCCAGCATTGCCACCTGTCACGGTTCCTGGGCTTCATCTTGGAGTCCTCTCCGGCCTTTGCTCTCGTCCTTGTTCCCAGGTGGGTGAAGAGGGACAGTTACCTTCCTGTGGGCAGCCACAACCTCAAGGCGGCTGCCAAAGCCAAGCTGGGCTACGACCCTGTGGAGCTGGACCCCGAGGACATGTGCCGGATGGCCACTGAGCAGCCCCAGGTACGTGTGTTTCCTCACCCTGCTCCCCTTTAGTTCTGATGTGGTGCCTCCGTGCCTCCTCGTTGCTCTTACTCTCTGGTGTTCTCTCCTCAGACTCTGGCCACGTACTCGGTGTCAGACGCAGTGGCCACGTACTACCTGTACATGAAATATGTCCACCCCTTTATATTCGCCCTCTGCACCATTATCCCCATGGAGCCTGATGAGGTCAGTGCCTCTCCTGGCCCCGTGGGCCGTTCTCCACACGCTTCCCAATGGAGCTGGTCCCAGGCAGCTGACGTGGATGCAGCTGTGGGATTTTGGCGTGTGATTTCAAGCCTGGTGTTTGCCCCCCATAGGTGCTGCGGAAGGGCTCTGGGACGCTGTGTGAGGCCTTGTTGATGGTGCAGGCCTTCCATGCCAACATCATCTTCCCCAACAAGCAGGAGCAGGAGTTTAACAAGCTGACAGATGACGGTCACGTGCTGGACGCCGAGACCTATGTGGGTGGCCACGTGGAGGCCCTTGAGTCAGGCGTGTTTCGCAGTGACATCCCCTGCAGGTTCAGGATGGTGAGCCCCTCCCTGGTCTTCCTGCTGAATGCTTGGTCAGACCCAGAAGTCGTGAGGGCTGCGATAAAGCCCTCATCCCTCTCACCCTGTGGACTCCTTACCAGACCTCCTTTGTCTGGCCTGCCCTTGACGAGGGCACTGCAGGGCAGGTGCTTGGCTTCTGTGGAGCATTCTCTGCCAGCGTCCCTCCGGAGGTAGACTGGTTGGTGCAAAGGCATTTCCCGTCTTACTCGTGTCCTCTCTTGGTCACTTGTGCTAGAATCCTGCTGCCTTTGACTTCCTGCTGCAGCGGGTGGAGAAGACCATGCGTCATGCCATCGAGGAAGAGGAGAAGGTGCCCATGGAGCAGGTCACCAATTTCCAAGAGGTAACGCTCCAGGAGGCCAGGAGAAACCATTGTCACGTGCCCTGCCTTGTAGACTGGCTTCTTTCAGTAGCATATTTGTTACGCACCTCCTGGGTGCTGGTACTTGGGCCCTGAGACAGAGGACACAGGGTCTCTTCTGGTCTTGTTGGGGCAGGGGGGAGGAACAGGACAGTGTTGGGGTCACAGTGAATGACCTGACCTAGGGAGGTAGGAGAGTTTCCCAAGGAGGCGGAGGGCTCTTGAGCTCGCTCTTGGAACATCGTGGTGGGCGGGTGTGGGACAGAGGTGAGTGCTGGGTCTGAAGACCAGTTCATTTGGACTTCATATTATAGGCAGTGAGGAGCCACTGGTTTTTATTTTTTGTTGTTAAGAAGACTTTAAAAATGCTGAGAGTCCATTCCTACAAGTGACAGAGTAGAATATAGTGACCATAGCACCCATCAAATAACAGAAAGCACCATTGACAACGTGCCCCATGCCTGGAGACCCCGGGTACCTCCCAGCTTGCTGGTCCTGTTCTTTGGGCTTGGCACTTCTCAGGTGTGTCTTTTAGGCCCTGCTCAGCACTGTGGCATATTGAGTGACTCGTGGTTTGAAGTTTTTACCAGTTTTAGGATTGATTTCGAGAAACATTTCATAACAGACTCACAAGGCAGAATTCAAGTAAGAATGTGTTTGTGTAGTCTGTAAACTGTGAAGTGCTGTGCAGCTGTTGTCAGCTCCAGGTGCCGTATGCCTCGGGAACTCTCAAAGGACAACCTGTGAGGAGCATCCAGGCTGAAAACCAAATGTGAGTTAGCACCTCAGAAGGAACAGGCACCACTTTCAAGTTGAAGAAGTGGCAACTTGAGACCAAGGTGTGCTGAGCGGAGGCCTCCAGACGCCTGGGGGAGCCCAGCACCGGGCTCCTGGAGGACGGGGAGTGTGGCCCTCGCGCCATCTCCAGAATGTTATAAAGGGCAGCCCAGGGTCCTTAGGAAAAGGGCAACAGGCTCATCGCTTTATTTCCAGGGGATCATCCTGTCCCCATGATGCTGACAGGAGGTACCAGCTGGGGGCATGGTGGCGCTGGGCGTGTCCTCTGGGAACTTTGCCTCCTTCCCTCTCTTCTCCCTCCCTAGTAGATTTCAGAACATGCCTCAGGGTGGAGAAGGATGGAGGGACTGTTCTCCTAATGATTCATTTGCCTAGAATTTAGCTAGAAACAAGGTATTAACGCTTCTGGCAAGTCCTGTTCTATAGGGTAGAAAGTACTCTTTTTAGTTATGGTGTCTGGTGTGTTTTTTATCTTTTTTGGAGGGTTTTAAAGAGTTTTTTAATACTAAGGGCAATTTTGCATTCAAGCGATTTTTCTCACATGACTACCAGATTTAACATATTTCATAAAAAAAGGTGGCTACTCTCCTGGTTAATCTTTTGTCTATTTAGGTGTGTTTCAGTTTACCCCTGACGGTTTAAAGCAGAGGTGGGCGAACCGTAGCCCATGACGCCTGTGTAGCCAGCAAGCTAAGAATGGTTCTCACGTTTTCAAAATGTTATAAAAAACAAACAACATCTGACAGAATATGTAGCCACAAAACCTAAAGTATTTATCATCTGGTCCTTCACAGAGGTTTGCTGGGTTATTAGATTAACTTGTGGATACACTAGTTCTCAAATTTGGGGGTTGCGTTCCTTGGTGTTGTGTACATTTGGTGCAGAATGAACTTTTCAGTTGAGTACCCGTCCGTGCTCTGATTTAACTCGGTGTTACATTTTGGGGAGTGGATAAAAATACATGACCATCAGAAGCCAGTTATCTTTAGCCTTATATAGTTGCACTGACTTTTTTACTTTTTAGGACAGTATTTTTATTTCTGGAGGCTCTGTTGTTTTTTTTCCGATTTGCTTCATTTTTTTTTTTTTTTAAACTGGACTCTTGTTCTAGAGTTTTGGTCTTCAGCATTTTTATTTATGCTCGTTTTCCCGCGTTTAGGAGATGTATTCTTAAGTTCTCGGGGCCTCCTCCTACTGTGTCTGCTCTTGGTCGTGGGGATCATGGGGGTTATGGGGGTGTTCCCTCTCACGCTCTGTGGTTTGGAATGTGAATTTATACTCAGCAGGGAGGCTCAGGTGGCCCATCAGGGGCTGTCAGTACTTTGATGCAGTTTCTGGCCTGGGGTCCCTTGTCATGTGGTTCCTTGGCTAGCGGGTTCCCAGACCACACACTTGCTGGAGGGACCAGACTGGTGCCAGCTGCTCAGGGAAGACTTTCTCCAGCAAGAATCCAGAAGAGACGTGATTCTGGTGGGCAGACGTATTCTAGTTTATCCTTTCACGGAGGTCGCCTCTGAGGGCCTGCCTTTATTTGGGGTTCTGTGTCCCTGTTGTGTGCAGGTTGCCTCGCACTGAGGAGGCATGAGAAATGTGTGAGGTGCTCACAGCGCGGGCTCAGATGGCCGGCCTCGGGAGCACCTGCGTGTGAGGCTGGGAACTCGGGGCTCAGGTTCTCCCCTTTCTTGGACAGCAGCGCCTCGTGAACCTGACTCACTTGCGCTAACACTGGTTCACGTGGAGCGCCTGCTTCTCTTCTGGGAGTCTGTGGTTTGGGTGTGTGTGGGCAGAAGAGCTACGTGACCTGCCCCCAGTAAAAACCCTGGGCACCGGGTCTGTGAGTGTCCTGGCGCCACGGCACTTGGTGAGTGTTGTCCTGGTTTGATGCTGGGAGAGTTAAACTCATCCCAGCTCGAGCCTGCCCTCCTCCCGCCTCCACCCCGCTTGCCTTTTCCCTTGGCTGGTTGAGTTCTGTGAGTCATTGCACCTGGGGAGTGGTCCTGGGGACCCCGACACGGCATCACCAAATTAGCTCACTGCTCTGGTTCTGAGTCCGCTCTTTGCTTTTGCCCTCTCAGGGTAACTTAGAAGCTCAGTTCTGCGTTTATAGGGATAGTTCTTATGTTTCGTGCAGGTTATCTAGGTGTTGGGATCAGGAGGGGTTTTTTGGCTAACAGCTCAACCTCTGGAAACAAATCTGATTCTTTGGTTTATAAAGTAATGCTGGAGACCGTCTAACACGAAGGTTCAGGACACAGCGTTTGGGCTAAGGGGGCCTGTGCTTGAGCCCCCGCTAACCTCTTGAGCCTTCTCATCTGTCAGGTGAGGGGTTGCTGAGGCCGGGGCGTCCCATGCCCTCACCGTGCAGGCACGAATGGCACCCAGGAAGAGTGCTGTTGATGCTCCAGCCCGGTCCCACACTCTCTGGCAGACGGCCATGCAAGGCCGCAGTTTTTCACAGTTTTCTCCCAACCACAAAGGGCCCCTGGGGTAGAGGCTGCCGCTCCCCGAGATGCTGTCCTCCTTAGGGCTCTGTCTTTTCTTGCGAGGCTCCTATACCTCCAGGTGTTGGTGGCCATCGTCTGCCATCCTTCTGGGACCCATGGTGCTTGCTTTGTGACCATATGTACGGTCTCCAGTTTTTGTCTTGGTTGCCACTCCTTTGTCCTTTCTCCTAGGTGTGTGACCAGATTAAGACCAAGCTCACCTCCCTGAAAGATGTTCCAAACAGAATAGAGTGTCCCCTTATCTACCACCTGGACGTGGGGGCCATGTACCCCAACATCATCCTGACGAACCGCCTGCAGGTGAGACAGATTCCCACATCAGAATTGAGCTCTTTCTGCGCAGGCCCTAACTGATCCCCCTCCCACCCTGCCGCAGCCCTCTGCCGTGGTGGACGAGGCCACGTGTGCTGCCTGTGACTTCAACAAGCCGGGAGCAGACTGCCAGAGGAAGATGGCCTGGCAGTGGAGGGGCGAGTTCAGTGAGTGCAGCCCTAGGGCAGGGGCAGGGTGGCTCGGCGGGGAGCAGATGTGCAGGTCCCTGTCATGGACCCCCTCTATCGCCCTCCTAGTGCCAGCCAGCCGCAGCGAGTACCATCGGATCCAGCACCAGCTAGAGTCGGAGAAGTTCCCTCCCTTGACTGCAGAGGGCCCAGTCCGGGCCTTTCACGAGCTGTCCCGCGAGGAGCAGGCTAAATATGAGAAGCGGAGGCTGTCAGGTGAGTGGCTTCCAAACACGGTGCCTCCTCTGGCTTGGGCCTTTGTTGGGCCATGCTGGTACGCCACAGCCTGAGGTCAGTTAAACTGGATGTTGCACCGGAAGAGATCACTGTGAACTTCTCCTTCCTGTGCTCTTGGGGACTTTGGCCCATTCACACTGGGGCTGCCCTTTCTTTGAGACGATGAACCATCACGTATCTTTCGGGCTTCTCTGCTCCTTGGTGTTAACCTAGAAAGCTGCACTGGTTGGCGTCTGTTGCTTCCTAGCTTTCTTTGGCTATGTCCAGGAGGCCTGGCTACCTCCTCTGTGGAGTCTCTCATGCTCCCCTGCTCTCAACTGTGCCTCAGATTACTGCCGGAAGGCGTACAAGAAGATCCACGTGACGAGGGTGGAGGAGCGCCTCACCACCGTCTGCCAGCGGGAGAACTCCTTCTATGTGGACACGGTGCGCGCCTTCCGAGACAGGCGGTATGAGTTCAAAGGTCTCCACAAGGTGAGTCTGACCTTCGTGAGGTCAGAGCAGAGTCGAGTTTCTGAGATGAGAACCCCCAGCTGGGCCCGCGGTGTGAGCACCCCACACATTTCTCATGCCTCCTCAGTGCGAGGCAACCTGCACACAACAGGGACACAGAACCCCAAATAAAGGCAGGCCCTCAGAGGGCCTTTATCTCTGGGCTCTCATGTATTTGCAAAGTAATGAATGCACAGTTGTTTTCAGCTTTGAGGGATTAAAGGCCTGAGGCCTTGAAACTGTTCTGAGTAATTGCTTTGGAAGTATTTATTTAGAGCAGAGATCAGCACACTATGGCTGGGCAGGCCGTTTTTATAAATAAAATTTTATTGGAACTGAACTGTATCCCTCTGCAGCCGGAGGTGAGCAGCCAGAGCAGAAACAGGCTGCACGAGTCCAGTGTCAGCCATGTGGCCAGCTTCTGATGGGAGGAGTAGGAGTGTGATTTACTGACCGTTTCCTCCAAGGAAGGTACATAGCAACACCTCAGTGATCATAACACATAGTAGTTTTATACTTGGGTGAATGGGGTTGTTTCTTCTGAAAGACCTTTCACTGCTGGATTCAGTAAGGTCCCTGCTCTGACAGACTCTTGTCATCACATTTTATAATTATTACCTTTTTTTGCTGGTTTCTTAGTGTGGTAAAATAGACATAACATAAAACTCAATGTTTCTAAGCACACAGTTCTGCAGCATTGAGGACATTCACACTGCTGTGCGGCCACCACCCCACCCTCTCCAGAACTCTTCATCTGACGGAACTAAAACTCTGCACCCACATAACAGTAACCCCCCATCCTACTTTCTGTCTCGGGGTTTAACTCCTGTAGGGCCCTTGGGTTAGTGGGATCACGCAGTGTCTGATTATGACCGGCTCATTTCCCTCGGCATCGAGTCCTCGAGCTTCATCCATGTTGTGGCAGGTGTCGGACGTTCCTTCCTTCTGACGCTGAATGGTAGTCCGTTGTGTGTACGCCCCATGTTCTGTTCATCCTTTGTCTGTCCACGGGCACTTGGGTCGTGTCCAAGTTTTGGCTTCTGTGAATATGGGTGTGCAAATAGCTCCTCAAGTCCCTGCTTTCGGTTCATTTGAGTGTGTACTCAAAGTGGCATTGCTGGGTCTTACGGTAATTTAATTTTCAATCTTTTGAGGGGCTGCGGTCCCATCTCATTTTGTTTCAATTAAGTAACTGTCAAGTCTTTTATTTCTCTGTCTCTCTTCAGATAAGAACTAAAAGTGTAGTGAGTGTGTCTCGTTCTTTGGAGTCTAACACAGTACCTGGTACATAGTAGGCATTCAGTAAATATCTTGTTTTGTTCTTTAAATATCAAACCTTCAAGAAAATTTTCTTCTCATATTGGATGGCGAGTTTGCTGAAATATTTATGGCCTTCTCTGTGGTTTTTTGTCAGTTGCTCTTATTAGGGGCCTCTTGAGTAGCTCTCGTTACCCTAAGTCCGGTTGATACAGACACAGATAGGCCTGGCTCCTCGTCCTGGGACATCTTGGCCTGAGGACAGCCAGTCCCATCACGGAAACCCACCGTACAGTTCTGCTAGCGAAGACTTGCTTCCTTGCAGTGAAGCAGGTAGAGCTAATCTGCCAGTGTAAGTCTCACCCATATGCTGGGGGAGATGTCCTCTAGCCTTGTCTTTCGGGCTCAGCATTTCAGGAGGTGTGAAGGCCAGGTGTCACCATGTGCCCCCCTGGGCTGGCACTGGGTGGGACTGGGGCCGGGCACCCCCAGGCCCAGCATTCGTGATCCATGGCTTCTAGTCTGATTCAAATTCTGGAGAGTCTTTCATTCATTCCAGATGTTTATTGTCTGTTCTTTGCCAGGTGCTCCTCTAGGTACTGAAATGCATCAGCCAGGGAAGTGAAGGTCAGGTGTTCTAAAGCAGAAAGGGAAGCATCAAATGTTTGACCACTGTGACAGCATCCAAGTTAGCAAGCAGGGACAGACATGCAGCTTGGGCAGGAGTGAGTTCAGGTGCCCCCCGAGTGCCCATGCTGGTCACCCTTCCACGTGGGCAGTTCTGTGGATTTTGACAAAAACATACGTGTAATGTATGTACGTGTGTAATGACCGCCACAGTGAAAAGAACATTTCTGTTACAACTATTTAGAATAGCACGAGGTCCTTCGTTAGCTTTATCGTTTCCGTCTTCCAACACTTGGTACAGGATCTGATAAGCAGGTGTTGGTCCATCGATAGGCTCGTGAGTCAGTTGTACTCCTGAGATGTTGTCTTTATTGGTGTGCACGTTGCTCTCTGCCTGTCAGCGGTTTCTGAGTTCTGTTGTTGGAGAAGACCTGTAACTCAGCTTGTCCACGGCATTAAGTCAGAGTCCAGTGAATAACAGGATGTGTATTGGGAGCCCCTGGGCCTCTTGGGTGGCGTGAAGCCCCTTCCTCTGTTGTTTGTCTCGGACTTGGGTTTCCTTTGTTTCTCTGGCTCACTGTTGGGTTCTGGGTTTTGTCCCAGGAGGCTGATGTTGCCCCAAGTCTGAGTTGTCCAAGTGGGTTACTGTAGTATTTTCTCCTTGTCCTTGGTCTCACAAGAAATAAAAGTTCTTTTGTGTTCAGAACTCGTTTCAGGACATCTGCCTTGTGCTAGGTAACCTAGCACAACCGGGCAGTGCTAGGTTACCAGTGACTCAGGACTCGTGGAGCCGTGTGTGGTTCTGGCCTGGCTGCAGGGTTGTGGGTTGTGCAGACCTGGGAGGGACGTGTGGATCCCGTACCCTTGTTACGTTTCTCAGGGGCAGTAATCGTGTTTTGGTTATGTAAAATGCCTTTATTCCTATGAATTGTGTGCTGGAGTCTTCAGGGGGGTCAGGTCCTGATGTGTGCACCTTCCAACGGGCTCTGCCTGTACAGAGAACGGGGTAAGGGAAACGTGGCCCAGGGTCAGCAGTGGTTTTTCTTCTCATGTCTGTGGTCTTCCGTTGTATTAGTTTTGGAAGTTTTCTATAGATTTGAAATTTTCAAACTATTAAAACGTTGGGCCACTGACTACGTAGAGTGTGAGCTGGAAGAACCTAGAAGGAGATTGGTCTCTGTGTGGTCCTAGGTGTGGAAAAAGAAGCTCTCCGCGGCCGTGGAGCTGGGCGACGCAGCGGAAGTGAAGCGCTGCAAGAACATGGAGGTGCTGTACGACTCCCTGCAGCTGGCGCACAAGTGCATCCTCAACTCCTTCTACGGCTATGTCATGCGCAGGGGGTACGCTCCTGCCTGGGGCCTGAGTCGGGGGAGTTGGCGCCTGCAGTCCTCGTGCTCAGGGAGGCGGGAGACCGCTGGCTGGGGCTGGGGGTGGGAGGGTGGGGCCACACTGACGCAGAGGGTCTGGGGTGCCGAGGGCATCTGTGCCACAGACATGTCGTCTCTGTGTCTTGGGTGGGAGACAGTGACGTGGTAGATTCCAGTATGTTTATGTGATGGAGGCTGTGTAGAGGGCCCGGGCAGTCACCAAGCAACATTGCATGACTAATACGAGGTGTGAAGCCATCTGAGGAGTCAGGAAGGCCGGGTGGGGGGGTTGCTTAAAGCCAAGGTGGACTGTTTCTGACGTACATGGGACGAGGGGGGATCTGAATGGTGAGTGAGGGCCTTTCGGGGAGCAGGTCGTGGAGGCCTGGCCACTGGGGAGGGGTCCCACTGGGGAGGGTCAGCATGTTGACGTCCGAGAAGGAGAAATACGGGACACTAGGGATTAGGTTTGAGGGAAAGTTCTTTTATTTTTTGTTGCCTTTTTTTTTTTAAGGTTTATTCGAGAGAGAGAGTGTGTGCATGCTCATGTGTGTGTGCAGTGGGGGGGGTGGGGGTGGAGGAGGGGCAGAGGGAGGGAGATTCTCAAGCTGATTCCCCGCTGAGCATGGAGCCCAACATGGGCCTCAATCCCACAACCCTGAGGTCACGACCTGAGCTAAAACCAAGAGTCGGACACTTAATGGACTTAGCCACCCAGGCACCCCTAGTTTTTGTTGCTTTCTAATGGCAGAGAAGGAGGGTGGAAAGCAGGGCTAGAGTGGAGTCCTCGGGCAGGAGGGGCGGGCGTCGGGTCGCCTGACGCCTCCCAGTATGACTTGGTTTGGGGGCAGTGGGCCAGGTGTCTGGCGGGAAGCCGAGGGCGGCCGAGGGCGTCCGCGGGCTTGTGTTTTCCCAGAGAGGTGAGGATGAGCATGGGGTCTGGGAGATGGAGGGGGCACGAGATGGAGCTGGGGACAGTGGAAGGGGCTCATGAGGATGCACGGCCACCCGGGCTGGTGATGAGAGAGCTGCTGCAGTGGTGGCCTGCTGCATCTTCCAGCCCTGCACCTGGAAGGAGGGCAGAGGAGTGTCCCCAGCACTAAGCTCAATTCCTCTGTGGTTCTCCTGCCCTGCTTCAGATGTCCCCTTCTTGGTGCCCTTCTCCTCACCTCCTCTAGTGACCCTTTGAGGGGAGCCCCACCGGTGCCCCAGGCTGTGACTCTCTTTCTCAGGGCTCGCTGGTACTCCATGGAGATGGCAGGCATCGTCTGCTTCACGGGGGCCAACATCATCACCCAGGCACGGGAGCTGATCGAGCAGATTGGGTGAGCCCTGCACTCTGGTCAGCTGCTGGGAGTGGACAGCTTGGAAGGGGGGCTGTGGGGCGGGGGCGGGGAACAAGTAGGTGGGCATTGTGTTTCATGGGTCCATGGCCAGGAAGGGCCTTCACGCCGGGTTCTCCCTACGTGAAGGCCATGGTCCAGTATCCATGTGGCCTCGTTTCTCTGTTTCTCGAAGGAGGCCCTTGGAGCTGGACACAGATGGAATATGGTGCGTCCTGCCCAACAGCTTCCCTGAAAACTTTGTCATCAAAACGACCAGTGTAAAAAAGCCCAAGGTGACCATTTCCTACCCTGGGGCCATGTTAAACATCATGGTCAAGGTGAGCCTGGGTCTCCAGGGAGGGCCTGCTGTCTGGGCCTGGATTCCTGGCACCCCCACTCTGACGGGGATTTGGGAGGGGGACTGTGTAGGCTCTCAAGCTTGCCTGTTACCTTCCGAACATCAGACCAGCCTGCCTGTGCCGTTCAGGTTTTTCTGTAGCCCAAGGATCTGTACAGAGAGTTCTGTGCTCGCACTGGAGTGAGTCTTCCCCTTTAGCACAGTGTCCGACTGTTCCGCTTTTAACTTTTTATTTTGAAATAGTGTTAGACTTACAGAAGAGTCCTAACAGTAGAACAGAGATTTGTATATATCCTTCAGCCTGCTTCCTCTAATGTTAGCATCTGTAAGCCCTGGCATGGTGATCAGAACTAAGGAATTCACGTTAACACAACACTGTAACCAAGCCAGAGTCTTTATTTGCATTTCCTGCGTCTCCTGGGCTCTGTGCTGGGCGTGCTGGGCCTGTCTCCTCAGTCCCCTCCAGGCTGGCAGCTCCCTGTCTTCAAGGAGTACTGGCCTCATCTCATTTGGATTTGTTTGTTGTTTCTGTCATTAGAATGAGGTCGTTAGCATTTTTGAAGGAATGCCAAAGGTGATGTGCCCTGTGTTTCATCCTGTTGCTGCTTGGTGTTGGGATCTGCACTTCTGGCCTCCCCTCCCCCGTCCCGCCCACTGTCCTGCTCCCCTTCCCGCTGCTGCAGGAGTGAGACCTCGAGTCATGGAGCCCACACCTCCCCACACCCCCGGGGAGTACCAGAGCCTTGAGTGAATGCTGGAGGAGATACTTGAGACGATGCAGGTGTCCTGTGTCTCCCCAATTTTCACTGGTTTGAGTGTCTGCTGCTGGTTCTGTGTGCTTTCCCCTGTGGCGGCTCCCTCTTTCCCACGTTCCTGGTGCAGGTGTTAATGGGAACCCTTCCGTAAGGAGGCGTTATCACCCTTCTTTTCCAATTATCCTCCGCTTAGCAATGTACTTAGTCGTGTCCTGCTGTGTTTTGTGACCTCGCTTGTTCCTCTGGCTGCTGGGGGCTCCTTCCCATTTGCCCACATATTCTTGACACATACCCCTGTTCTGTGGTTTGGGTTCAGGTTTGGAGCTTTTTTTTAAACAGCACTTTTTTACTTCCTGGTCCTGTAAGGTGCTCCAGCCTCACCTTGAGTTTCCCAGTCCCAGCCCTAGAATTAGCTGTTTCTCTAAGGAGCCAGGTTCCTTTTATTGGAGAGGGTGTTGGAAACCAAGATCAGAGGCAGATGCTCCTTGCTGTGGCTGTTGGTGCTTCTGGCTGCTCCTGGCTGATTGAGCCAGGAAAGATGTGTATGCCCGATGCCCCCCTCACCCACACATGCAGCTGGGTTTATCTCTCTGTCTGCGTGTGCACTTCAAAATAGAGAACGTGAGTCCACAGTGATCTGTCTGGCCCCAATCTAGTCCCCTTTCCTCATTAGTAACTTCTTCCTCCTGCAGTGAGAAGCCTGTCCTTCATTTGTTGAGCCCTAGTGTATGTGCGCAGGGGTGTCAGGATTGTGCCATCACATGCAGTGAACTTAGCAGCTACAGCACAGTGTGTGTAGTGTTTCTGTCTTTGGTCTGTACTACCCCATCAGGACGGTTTGCCAGAGTGACAAGTCAGCCCTTCAGTGGGATTCTACAGAGAACGCAGCTGGGCTCGTGTCTTCCAGTCTGCAGTCCCTTTTGGGGTTGCCCAGTATCCTGGTTGAATGCTTTTAACTTTGCTTACAGTAAAATTCACTCTTCGAAGAGTGCAGTTCTGTGGGTTTTGACCCACACATAGAGTCATGTTTCCATCGCACAGCAACACAGAACAGTTCCCGAGTGCCGCTCCTTTATCATCAGCTCCAGACTCTGGCTACCCAGTGTGTTCTCTGCAATAATAATTCTGCCTTTTCCAGAATGTCCTGTGAATGGAAACAAGTCGTATAAACTTCTGGACTTAGCAGAATGCGTTTTGGTTCTTCCACGTCTGACGTGTCCGAACGTGAACTCTTTCCCTGGCTGAGTGGTGTCCATTGTACAGAAGAGCCCCAGTTTGCTGGTCCAGCCAGTCCTCGGAGGGTAGCTGTCATTTCCAGAATGGTTGGGAGTAAGGCAGCCCCCTTCCCCTCGTTTTGCAGGAAGGCTTCACCAATGATCAGTACCAGGAGCTGACCGAGCCATCCTCACTCACCTATGTCACCCGCTCGGAGAACAGCATCTTTTTCGAGGTTGATGGACCCTACCTTGCCATGATCCTTCCAGCCTCCAAGGAAGAAGGCAAGAAACTGAAAAAGAGGTGGGAATCTCACAGCCTTCGTGTTTGGGAAGAAAACGAACGGATGAGACTTAACCCATCCGGGAAGTAGACCAGGAAGCCAGATGGGAGTAGTTCTGTTTTTTTGACCTTTTTGATTCAATTTGGAGACACAAATACTACCAGCTCTGCTCTCCACCTGTTTGATTCTAACTGCACAGGCTGCAGGCCCTTCTGTCGTTCTTCTGTCAGAAGCAGGAGCCTCGGGGTGGAGAGATGTTTGCTGCCTGGCGGATGCTAGAGGAGAGGGTTGGGTGGAGGGCTGGTGGCACACAGCCAACATCCCGGGCTCCCGTTCACTGCCATGCTTGCCTGTGATTCCAGATACGCTGTCTTCAATGAGGACGGTTCCCTGGCTGAGCTAAAGGGCTTCGAGATCAAACGCCGAGGGGAGCTGCAACTGATTAAGATCTTCCAGTCCTCGGTGTTCGAGGCCTTCCTCAAGGGCAGCACGCTCGAAGAAGTGTATGGCTCTGTTGCCAAGGTGGCTGATTACTGGCTGGATGTGCTGTATAGTAAGGTAAGGCCCCCCCCGTCCTTCCCGGGCTGCGAGGGTCCTGTGGGCAGAGGGACCCCGTGTCCCTGGGCTCCCGGAGAGCAGGGTGGGTCAGGGCTAACTCTGACAAGACCCCAGGGCTTCCCGAGTTCCGGTGCCTCCCGGAATCCCTGTCGGTGGGATCCCCCATGTCCAGTGAGGGAATTCTGTGAAGGAAACAAACAGCACAGTAAAAGCAGCTATAAGACAGAATTTACACGTGATTGCATCAATTTCTTGGATTGTCACAATCCTTGTAGGCCCTGTAAATGAGAATGCGGTTTCCACAGTTTAAACAACAGGGCTGGCTCCCTTTAAAAATTTCTCACGAAATTTATCATTCTCTCTCTGTTGCTCGTTAGTCTGTATTTCATCACGTTTGCATTACTTAACTCACAACTATCCACTGCTGTTGGGTATCGGGATTCTGGTTTCCACCACTGTAATGTTGCCTTGAACATCTTTGTACAGACGCTTTTCCCTCCTTTCTTGTGTTGTCTGCTAAGAGGAGGCTTTCTGAGTAAAAGGAATACTGGAATATTCTGGAACATTTTTCTGTCTTCCTTTGCTTTGTGGGCTGCTGTAGCTTGGCATGTTGTCTTGTTCTGTAGTGTTTTTGTTTTTTTAAGATTTTATTTATTTATCTGACAGAGACAGACACAGCGAGAGAGGGAACACAAGCAGGGGGAGTGGGAGAGGGAGAAGCAGGCTTCCCGCAGAGCAGGGAACCCGACGCGGGGCTCGATCCCAGGACCTGAGCCGAAGGCAGACGCTTAACGACTGAGCCACCCAGGGGCCCCTTGTTCTGTAGTGTTGACCCATACACGAGAGTAAGCACCAAGAGGGAAAAACAGGAAACGGGCCAAGCAAATCTTACAGGATGTTGGGGGCGGGGGGTCAGGGGTGCGTGGGCGCGGGGGCGGGGGGCCAGGGGTGTGTGTGCGTGGGAGCAGCGGGAGTGTGGGGCCATGGGTGCGTGTGCGTGGGAGCAGCGGGGGTGCGGGGTCAGGGGGCCTGGGGTGCGTGTGCGTGGGAGCAGCGGGGGTGCGGGGCCAGGGGTGTGTGTGCGCGGGAGCAGCAGGGGTGCGGGGTCGGGGTGCGGGGGCAGGGGGTCGGGGTGTGTCTGCGCAGGGCAGTGGGGGGCGCGGGGGCAGGGAGCAGATAGAGCTCTTTGCTCTCAGGCCCCTCTGACTCCTCATTGCTGAGGAGCGCCTCGGCTCCTCGCTCAGGCCCTGATTCTCCAGCTCGCATTGTCTCTTTCTTCGCTCCTACTTTTCCTGTTTTTCTCTTCCTTTTAGGAAAAAGATCACCATTTGTGTCTTTCCCCTTTTTTTGCAGCTTTGGTGCTAATAGCTCAGTAAACATTTCTTAACGTTTTCAACATAGTTTAATGATATGGCAGTTCAGGTTTTATGTTTGAATTTGTAAGTGTTGCTGTTGACTGATGTGAGACAGCCCTGCTGTTTATCAGGCTGGAGAAAGTCAAGTTACTATGGGAGGAATGTTGCCGGTGAGCCTGGGGTCGCCCTCCTTTCCTCCTGCGCCATGTTGTGCCCATTGCCTCTCTCCAGGCAGCTAACATGCCCGATTCTGAGCTGTTTGAGCTGATCTCTGAGAACCGCTCCATGTCTCGGAAGCTGGAAGATTATGGGGAGCAGAAGTCCACGTCTATCAGCACCGCCAAGCGCCTGGCTGAGTTCCTGGGAGATCAGATGGTGAAGGACGCGGGACTGAGCTGCCGCTACATCATCTCCCGGAAGCCTGAGGGGTCTCCTGTTACGGAGAGGTAAGGGTTCCTGAGGTTAAGGAAGGGATTGCTTAAGGGCTTGGATGCTTGGGTTGAAAGCTTGAGTCTGTTGTGGAACTTCTGTCCCTTTGTAGCGAGGTGAGCTTCCTTGGAAAGGGCAGGAGGGGTGCCTGGGTAGCTCAGTTGGTGACGCATCTGCCTTCGGCTCAGGTCATGATCCTGGGATCAAGCCCTGCATTGGGGGGGGGGGGTCCCTGCTCAGCGGGGAGTCTGCTTCTCCCTCTGCTCCTCCCCCTCTGCCTCTCCCCCTGCTTGTGCGTGCTCTCTCTCTCTGTCAAATAAAGAAATAAAATCTTTAGGAAAAAAAAAGCAGGATGGTCAGGTGTTAGAAGAGGTGGGGACTGAGCCTTGGGCCCCTGCAGAACCTGGGTTCTTGAGGGGCCAGACTACTCTCTCAGTGAGGCACAGAGATGTGGGGGTGCCTTGGGGGGGTCAGCTACTATGGGCGCCATCACAGGGTTCAGTTGAGGTCTGGGGCAGGGCCCTGGATCTCTCATACCCTTGAGGAGACTGTTGCCGCCCTGGCTGGGGAGGTCTCAGTGCGAGCTGCACGGAATGCTCTAGTATCCGAGGCTCTGTTGCACTGCCCGTGCTGCATCCCCAGCTCTCTCTATGACAGACGTGTCCTCCAGCTTCTGAAACACATCCAGAATAACAGCAGAGGATTCTGTCAGCCAGCATCTTCCACTCCCGAGTAGAGAAGTTTCAGGATCACCAGGTGGTTCTCCTGTTACCCCATTGCTCATCAGCCTGCTTGAGCTGTGCAGGGACTGCATGAACAAAACAGAAAACCCTGTGTCGAAGGCATGGACTTATAGAACGATAGGTCTTATACCTGCTCATCATTATGTGACATGGCAGAGCTTCCTACCAGGAGCTCAAGGGTTAGAAGTGGTTCCATGGACAGGCCCGGAGAAAAGTGGGCAGATGGGGGGAAGTACTAAGTAGCGACAAGAGAAAACGTTTCTCTTCCATGCTTCCGTGACCCTTTGTAACAGGGCCTTGCTGTTCCTCCCATGACAATGTGTCTGCCTTCACTTGCTCAGAGTCTGGGCAGCCCTGTGACTTGCTGTGGCCGGTGCAACATGGCAGACATTAACTCTGGTTACAGGAGGCCTTATGGTTCTGCTCTTGCCCTTTTGCTGCGTGGTTGGCCTGTTGGAGGCTGAGAGGTTCTGTGCAGAGGGAGGTCTAGGTGATAGTACAAACTGCCACACCTATAGGAGAGGCCACTGCAGCTACGTGAGTGACCCCACGCAGGAGCACCTCAGTTACAGACTCATAAGCCAAAAACAGGTTATTCTTTAAATCCTTTGAGTATGGGTGGTTTGTAATACAGCAGTAGACAATCGAAGCTAGAAACATCGATAATCAGTGTTCTCACCTACACTAGGAAGGTTCGGAGGAAAAGCAAGTGAATGAGCAAATATTTCCTTAAAAAGAAATCCCGGCAGTTCTAACAAAAGGAGAAGGAATTTGATATAAGGCTAAAACAGATTACATACGGGGGCGCCTGGGTGGCTCAGTCGGTTAAGCGTCTGCCTTCAACTCAGGTCATGATCCCGGGGTCCCGGGATTGAGTCCCGCATCGGGCTCCCTGCTCAGCGGGAAGTCTGCTTCTCCCTCTCCCTCTGCTGCTCCCCCTCCTTGTGTTCTCTTTCTCTCTCAAATAAATAAATAAAAAGTCCTAAGAAAAAAACAACAAATTACATACTGAGTAAAATAAAGAATTCTTAAATATCAACAAGAAGAAGGCGACATAAAAAATAGGCAACAGATATGAACAGGCAACTTGCAAGCGAAGAACATGATGGTCAGTACATGGAAAGATGTTTAAACTCACAGTAATCACGAAGTGCGGATTTCAGAAGCATCTATTGGTCGGAAAGAAAGCGTGATGACAGCAGTTGTCGTGCATATAGATAGGCGTGTGGGTGACCGTCACTTCAGAGCAAAGCCAGCTGTGCATGGTGAGGTAGACGATGCCGATGCCTCTCACAATGGAGCATGTCTGGGGATGTGCCCTGTGTAACTGCCCATGTGTTTTCATTGTGTTTAGGAGCAAATGTTGGGAATGCCATAGTGTCCTTCAACCAGAAAATAGATGTGTTTATGCAGTGAAATGCTGTGTAGGTGTTGGAATGATTGGATCACAGCCACATGCTATGCTGCAGGGTGGCACGTGCACCCCATTGTACTCCCATCTGTATCAAATTGACAAACACTGAGGACACTCCTACTTGTTTCGGATACATACGGACAGGAGTAGTATAAAAGCACGTGTGGGATTGGTAAATATCAAAATAGGGAATCACGTTTATCTCTCTATGAGGATGGTCAGGAGAGGTGCATGGGACTTCATCCTTAGTTTTCTCATATATGAAAAATGGCAGGGCGTGAAGTTGGATAGGACTAGGTGATGTGTGTACTGGTGTTTGTTGTGTTCTAAGTTTCTTTGCGTTCATAATATTCACGTTAACAACTATTTTCTCCAATGAAAGGAAAGGGTATTGATGGTTGCCGTGTTGCTTGGCTACTCATGTGAAAACTGGTTCATTCTTTCAGGAAAGCAGATGGAGTCTTCCTGTATCTTACTCAATGAGTAACATTTTAGAAATGTCTAATTGCATGTGCACACGGGAATATGTGATTTACATAGCTCTGTTAACTGTGGCCAAACAGCATAGATGCCCCCCAGTGGGGGGAGTGTGCGTTAGCCCATGATGTTTTAATACATTGACATATTATGTATTTATTAAATATGATAAACATTAGATATTAGCTGTACTTTATAACAAAGTGACATCATGAAGTAAAAGCACAGGTTACAAACGAGGTTATAAGCCCTTTACGTCCATGTGGAATGCGTGTATGCTGGTGAGCACTGTGACAGGAGTTGGGGAGAGTCTTGTGTTGGTGACTTTTGTGCCTTTCTTCGCCCAGGGCTATCCCGCTTGCCATTTTCCAGGCAGAGCCCATGGTGAGGAAGCACTTTCTCCGGAAATGGCTTAAGAGTTCTTCCCTCCAAGACTTTGATATTCGGACGGTGAGTACTGACTTTGTTACTTTGAGAAGTTTAGGAGGAAGAGTCGACAGCAGAGTATCCCTGACTCAGATCTGGAGTCTTCACTCTTGATGTCCTCCTTTCTGATACGTAATGGGCAAGGAGGTATTACGCTTTAGGGCAAAACTGGAAAAGCTCAGTGCTGGGGAGGGCTTGGATTCTGGCACAGGGTCCTTGTGCTGGCTCAGCCACTAAGTCTGGGATCCTGGGAGTCATTTAAGTGCTCTGCCTCAGTTTCCTTCTCTGTGAAATGGGTATGTTTTGTCCCAGAATTTCTAGGTGGGTTACAAGTAGGACATAGGAAGCATTCAGCACAGTGCTTGGCATAGAGTGGGGCATAGCGCTGCTGCTGGTCTTCTCTCTCTTACACCTTGTTGCGGTCTCTTACCCACTGTCCAGATTCTGGATTGGGACTACTACATCGAGCGTCTGGGGAGTGCCATACAGAAGATCATCACAATCCCCGCAGCTCTGCAGCAGGTGAGGCCTGCCAGCGCAGACAGGGCCCCATGTGGCTCAGTAGCCACGGAAACCTGGGCCTGGCCCGTACTAGCAGAGTCAGACGAGTGATCCGTGTCCCCTTTGTGTAGGTGAAGAACCCAGTGCCACGCGTCAAGCACCCTGACTGGCTGCACAAGAAACTTCTGGAGAAGAATGATGTCTGCAAGCAGAAGAAGATCAGTGAGCTGTTTGTCCTTGAGGGCAGGAGACAGGTAGTGAGCCCGGGACTGTGGGGGCCCCTGCTGCTGCCATTCAAGTGTCTAGAGTATTTCTTTTCTTTGTTAAAAATGTGCCTGGCAGTCGTCTCTTTATTTCCTGCTGGGGATTTTCTGGGATAGGACACACTTGGTCGTCTGTTAAGGAGAAGGAGTGTCCTCTATGTGAATAGGGTGGTAACTGGACTCAGGGACTCTGTGAATCACTGTGCCAGAGACTTCAGTTTTCTAAACTAGAAAATAAAAACCTGTAGAAACCCTAGAAAATACTGAAGGGTGTAATGAAGGGCTTAGCTAAAATCAGAAAAGACAAAAAATTCTCCAGTGCTGAAAATGAATAGTGAACTTATTTTTTTTTTATTACTGATTTTTTTTCTCCACCCCCCTGAAAAGTGAACTTTAAACCAGAGCGGTATATAAACTTACCTGCAAAAAACCAGATTCTCAGGTTGGACTTTTAAAATCTAACTTTATCTTTATTATAAGAGCTATCCCTAGAAGGCCAGGGCACAGAGGGATTAAAGGGTGGAAAGCACACAGTCAGGCAAATACTAACTGAAACAAAGCTGATGTGGCTATATTAATGCCAGCAAAATGATCCTTAAGCCAAAAAGTATTAGTAGGGTTAGGATGGTTATTAAATCATACTGAAAGGGGTGGGATGGGGGGATGGGTTAGCCTGGTGATGGGTATTAAGGAGGGCACGTTCTGCATGGAGCACGGGTGTTGTGCACAAACAATGAATCATGGAACACTGCATCAAAAACTAATGATGTAATGTATGGGGATTAACGTAACAAAAAAATTTAAAGAAAAAAAAATCATACTTAAAGTCACAGTTCAACAGAAACATGTAATTCTGATAGTTTAGTTTTAAATTAAATAATGTAAATAATGTAAAAATTTACCTAATTAGTAGAAGAAATTGACATCCAGTCAAGTTTGAGAGATTTTAATAAATCCCTCTCAATTGAAAGATCGAGCAGACCAAAAACCAGTACGAATATGTAAGGTTGGGGGCGCCTGGGTGGCTCAGTCGTTGGGCGTCTGCCTTTGGCTCAGGTCAGGATCCCAGGGTCCTGGGATCGAGCCCTGCATTGGGCTCCCTGCTCAGCGGGGAGCCTGCTTCTCCCTCTCCCACTCCCCCTGCTTTTGTTCCCTCTCTCGCTGTGTCTTTCTCTTTCAAATAAATAAATAAAATCTTTAAGAGAAAAAAAGAAAAAGAATATGTAAGGTTGGAGGACTCTAACCAGATTCAGTGAATAAATATAACCTTGTACTCAGTAATCAGGGATTACACATTCTTCTCAAGAACATATACAGTCATGACCGTGTGCATGCAACAGATTCTAAATAGTTTATATATAGACCATTTTGTTTGGAAATTTAAAAAAAAAGTACATTTGTAAATAACTTACGGATCAAAGAAGTCATAATGGGGGCACCTGGGTGGCTCAGTTGGTTGCACATCTGCCTTTGGCTCAGGTCATGATCCCAGGGCTCCCTGCTCAGCGGGGAAGTGTGCTTCTCTACACCTCCCCCCGTTCATGATCTCTTTGAAATAAATAAGTGAAATCTTAAAAAAAAAAAAAGTCATGATGGGAATTAGAAATAATGAAAGTACTAATCCTATCAAAATTTGTGGTATGCAGCTAAAGAGCACTTACATGCACACTGTCTGCACAGATAGATATTAGCAAAAAAAAAAACAAGTAGGAAATCAAATAAGCTTTCAACTGAAGAGTCAGCAGCAGGGTGAGCCGTGGAGGCAGAAGGATGGAAGTTACAAGTGGAAGAGCAGGAATGAGGGAAATAAACAGTGAATCCCAAACCTCAGTGTTCGAAAAGACTTAGGAAATAGGCAAATCTTTGTCAAGATAGATCAATCTTTGGGCTTTATTTTAGTGAAAACAGACACAATTGCAGACAGGGAAAACTCTAAAACAACATAAGGAACCACCTTTCTCTACCAAACAAGCAGAAGCTTAGATGGACTGGACCGAATTATTCAAACTGACCTGAAAACCTGAATAGAAGTTAAACCATTAAAACACTGAATCACAGTGGAAACAAACCAAGTGGTTTTTCAAAGGAATTTTACCAAAGTTTTTAAACAGATTTATTTCAGAGAATAAGAAAAGACGAAAAGCCTTCTTAGTTCACTGGAATGGACCGTGTCTACGTCGCCAGTAGGGGTCAGTCTCAGAAATATGTGAACGAGTGGGAAAAGCAGGTTGCCGTGGGATGTGTGGTGTGGGACTGTAACACCGCAGCTTGAGGGAGGGTGCACATTCGTGGGCGTGGAGTAGAAGCACGTGGTGCGCGGGGAGTGACAGGTGCTGTGCTGAGGGCTGGGAGGGAGAAAGAAGGGACCTGTCCTTTGCAATATTTTATTTCTTATGAAAAGGAGAGAGCTGTGGAGCAAATGTGGAAAGATGTAAGTGTTCTCTTCATAGTCGTGGTGCTTGAGTGACATTTTGTTGGATCTTCACTATTAGAAATTGGAAGTAAATCAGTCAGTCAGTGCACACTGTTGTGTACAAATATTTTACCCATTCAGTTGACACCCATATGACACCCATTCAGTGACACCTAGAGGTGGAGTTATCTGAGAGGTTGTGGTATTTTAAGTCTCCTTTGGGTCTTTGCAGGTGGGCACAGCCCAGGCTCCAGAAGGCACGCAGAGCCTTGGTGCTCCTGACATGGAGGATTTTGGCCTAGTGAAGCCACCGCACATGGCAGTTCCTGTTGCAACTAAGAGGAAGCGTGTCCTCTGGGAGAGCCAGGAGGAGTTGCAGGACCTGGAGCTGACGGTGCCCTGGCAGGAAATCCTGGGGCAGCCCCCGGCCCTCGGAACCACCCAGGTGAGAAGCCTCAGAGCCTGGGGTGGCCAGTGGGAGGAGGGAGCAAGGACAGCAGTCAGGCCCGAGCTGGGGCCCACTGTCTTCTGTGGAGTCTGCTAAGTAGCTTTGGGGCCCCAGCATGGGTCTTGACCTCTGCGGTGGCTGGGAAGAGACGTCCAGTCCTTACAACAGCTGCCCAGACTCGGAAGCCACGTGATGTAGTTGCTGAGGAAGGCTGTTTCTGTTTTACTGCGTGCTCCTTGGTTGTGTTTACTGTGTTCTCTTTCTGACCTGTTCCACCACGTGTCCTAGGAAGAGTGGCTGGTCTGGCTCCGGTTCCATAAGAAGAAGTGGCAGCTGCAGGCCCGGCAGCGCCTGGCCCACAAGAAGAGGCGGCGTCTGGAGGTGGCAGAAGGCAACCCTCTGCCTGGGGCCATCCGAGATAGGCCCGCCACCGGGTTGGGGAGCTTCTTGCGAAGGACCGCCCGCAGCATCTTGGACCTTCCGTGGCAGATTGTACAGGTGTGGACTGGGATCAGTGGGGGGCCGGGGGGGTGGGATGCCTCCAAGGGCAGCAGCACAGCCAGTGGGAAGGTCCTGGGGACCCTCCCGTGGTCCAGCATGGAGGGGAAGGGCAGGCCTTTGCTGGAGAGCACCTGGGAGGCGAGCGCTTCCTGTGACAAGGTGACACACTGCTGTATGCTCTTTCCCTTTCAGATCAGTGAAACCAGCCAGGCGGGTCTGTTCAGGCTGTGGGCTGTCATCAGCAGTGACTTGTACTGCATCCGGCTGAACATCCCCCGTGTGTTCTATGTCAACCAGCGGGTGGCTAAAGCCGAGGAGGGGCCTTCATATCGCAAGGTACGGGCCTCAGGTGTTGCTGGTCTCTGGTCCAGTGCCTGCTCAGTCTCGAGGTGTTCTCTGCCCCGATGGAGGGGCCGCATAAAGAATGGGGCCTTGCAGATACAAAGCCTAGTGAGCCAGGTGACCCTAAGCGAGGTGTGCTGGAGCCTCTGTCTCCCGAGAACTCTCCTGGGGTGCTGTAAGAATCGAAACGGTGTCTGTGGACTGCTCAGTGACCGGAGTTGCCCATGTTGTCCTGGTGCACCATCCTCTTGGGTTCGATGTCCATGGAGCAGGGGAGGGACTAGGTGGATGTCTGTCAGGGGCTCTTCTGATGGAAACAGCTTTGCTGGGATAGACCTCACATGCCACATCCTTCACTCATTTAAAGTGTGCATTTCAGTGGCTTTTCGTGTGTACTGGTCACGCAGCCTCTGCCACAGTCTGTCTTAAAACATTTTTATTACCCTCAAAAGACACCCAGATCCATAGTGGTCTCTCCGCTCCCCCAGCCCTCGGTAACCACCGGTCCTTGTTCTGCCTTTGGATTAGCCTGTTGTGGACATTTCATGTAAATGGAATCCACATAATGCAGTTCTACCCAAAGCTCCTTTACTGAGGCTGTCGGTGCACATCTCTCAGTTGGGCGCCCACAAGCTGACGTCTAGTTGAGGAAACGAGATGTGTGTGTTTGTAACTGGGAACTACACTGCGGAGGCTTTCTGGAGAAGGTGACACTCAGTTCTGACCAGAGGATTCAGCAGGTTGTGAACCCGGAAAGGGCAGCAGAGAACAGATGGTCTGGAATTCCTGTAGCTTTCTCCGATGTGGTGGGCATGGTAACTTCAAAGGAGATCATCTTTGGGGGGATATTTTCCTGTTCAGTGCCCTTTCCTGCTCCCCTCCCCAGGATTCCTCCACACTCTGTGGCTCCCCCAGACCAGTAGATAGCAGGACAGTAAACTGGGCACCCCTGCTGCCCTTGCCCTCTGAGAGCCCCTCTGCTTCTCAGAAGCCTCAGGCTGCTTCTCAAAGTTCCAGCAGAGCTTTCAGTTTTATTCATGAGGAGAGATGGGCTCTAGGGGGTTCACCCAGTGGCTGTGGGACTGTTCCAGTGATGTGTGTCGTGTTTAACAGACATCACCACTTAGCCACATGATGAGCTCATCACCCTGTTGTCACCAGGTCAGCCGCATCCTTCCGCGCTCCAACATAGTCTACAATCTCTATGAGTACTCGGTGCCCGAGGACATGTACCAGGAGCACATCAACGAGATCAACACTGAGTTGTCGGCCCCAGACATTGAGGGCGTGTATGAGACTCAGGTAACTATCTTCCCAGCTCACCTGAGCAGGGATCCAACTGGATGGGATAGAGAAGGGAAAACTCCGTATGGGATGGACAGGCTAGCAGCACAACTATGGGCCCCCCTCCAAGGCAGTGAATTTCAGCAGCAAGTCTGCTGAAGAGACACAGGCAGCGGCCCTCACCCTGCCTGTCTGCCTCTGCCCCCAGGTCCCGTTATTGTTCCGGGCCCTGGTGCAGCTGGGCTGTGTGTGTGTGGTCAATAAACAGCCGGTGAAGCACCTTTCAGGCTGGGAGGCAGAAACCTTTGCTCTCGAGCACCTGGAGATGCGCTCTCTGGCCCAGTTCAGCTACCTGGAACCAGGTACGATGCATGCCAGCTACCCTCGCCTGGCCAGGCTCCCACACACCTCGGGGTGACGGCCGTGTTCTCCTGCAGGGAGCATCCGCCACCTCTACCTGTATCATCACGCGCAGGGACACAAAGCACTGTTCGGCTTGTTCGTGCCCTCCCAGCGCAGAGCGTCTGTGTTTGTGCTGGACACCGTGAGTTCCTGGCAAGGGACAGGACAAGCCTTTACCCCCCAGTGCTCGTGGTGATTGTGCTGGAGCCGTAGAGGGGGGACCCTGCCGCCCATACCTGCGCAGGGAGAGGGCTGATGTGGCCTCTTGTTGGTCTAGGTGCGAAGCAACCAAATGCCCAGTCTCAGTGCTCTCTACTCAGCCGAGCATAGCCTCCTGATGGAGAAAGTGGGTCCCGAGCTCCTGCCTCCGCCCAAACACACTTTCGAAGTTCGGGCCGAAACGGACATGAAGACCATCTGTAGGGCCATCCAGCGCTTCTTGCTGGCCTACAAAGTGAGTGCGGTGGGGCTTCTGTGTGCGAGCCCATCCCCCGGCCCGGGTCCCCCTAGCTGCTTTCTTACCTAATGCCCAGGAGGAGCGCCGTGGGCCCACACTCATTGCTGTTCAGTCCAACTGGGAGCTGAAGAGGCTGGCTGGCGAGGTCCCTGTCTTGGAGGAGTTCCCGCTGGTGCCTGTCCGCGTGGCCGATAAGATCAGCTATGGCGTCCTGGACTGGCAGCGCCTTGGAGCCCGGCGCATGATCCGCCACTATCTCAACCTGGACACCTGTCTGTCACAGGCCTTCGAGATGAGCAGGTGAGCGGAATGGAGGGGTTTCTTGGTGTTTCTGTGCTCTGGCCATCGTGGTTGTTGCTGGTCTCTTCCCCATTTGCTTGTCCACTTCCTGGGGCTGACCCCATGTCCCCGTGCAGGTACTTCCACATCCCCATTGGTAATCTGCCTGAGGACATCTCCACCTTTGGCTCCGACCTCTTCTTTGCCCGCCACCTCCAGCGCCACAGCCACCTGCTGTGGTTGTCCCCTACCTCACGCCCTGACCTGGGCGGCAAGGAGGCTGATGACAATCGCCTCATCATGGAGTTTGATGACCAGGCCAGTGTGGAGATCAACTATCCAGGCTGCTACTCCACGGGTGGGTGCTCAAGGCACATGGGGTCCCCGCCTGCTGGGGTTTCTGCCATTTATTGCATTTCTGTGGTGGCGGGAACGCCGAGTGGTAGCTACACAGCGCTTGTTTGTGCCAGTGTGGAAAGTGAGCCTGTAGGAGCCTCCGCAGCTGTGGGATGAGCAAGGGTGGGCCCTGCAGTCTGCTCAGTGACAGTCTCGTCGGCCACCCCGGCTGCCCTGGATAGCAGTACCTTTTCTGAGACAGCGCTTGCTGCAGTCAGACTGCAGACACAAGAGGGTTTTTGTGGCACAAATGGTGGTTTCTCTGTGTGCAGTGTGCGTGGAGCTGGACATCCAGAACCTGGCTGTCAACACCATCCTGCAGTCCCACCATATCAATGACATGGAAGGGGCCGACAGTGTGGGCATCAGCTTCGATGTGATCCAGCAGGCCTCCCTGGAGGACATGATCACTGGCAATCAGGCCGCCAGCACCCTGGCCAGCTATGACGAGACAGCGCTCTGCTCCAGCACCTTCAGGTACCTGGGAACCTGCGTCCCCGAGAACATCACCCTGACCTTAATATTTTGTCCCGTCCTCTCCCTAGGCAGAATAGCTGAGTTTGGGATCTAGAAGGAACATGAGAAGCTTTTTTATCCTCTGCCCTTGTTTTGGAAAACTAAGAGCTAAGACACTGTCACTGGGGCTTCTTCCCCCCATGGGCGGCAGAACCAGAAACTCACATGGGTCCAGGCTCTTTCCTCTGCTCGCTGGGCTTTGCTGCCCTCTGGGCACTGTGTTCTGGCCTCCTTCCTGTGGCCAGAGGTATGCTGTAGGTGTTGAGTGCAGAGGGAGGCCTGAGGGTGCAGATGAGGGCCCAGCAATGAGGTTTGGACAGTGATAGAGGTGACAGAACAGGGGGAAGCTGGTGCTGGCAACAAAGGGGACTCCCTTTGCATCTTTCTTCCAGGATCCTGAAGAGCATGGTGGTGGGTTGGGTGAAAGAGATCACACAGTACCGAAACATCTATGCTGACAACCAGGTGATGCACTTCTACCGCTGGCTGCGGTCCCCATCCTCACTGCTCCATGACCCTGCTCTGCACCGCACACTCCACAACATGATGAAGAAGCTCTTTCTGCAGTGAGTGCTACCAGGGGCTTGCTCCAGGCCACACGGACCCCTCAGTCCCCAAAACCAGAGAGATGGTCAGCCAGCATCTCTGGAATCAGCAGCCCACTTTTGGGCTGCTGGTCCATGGTGGTAAAGGTCCTGGGGAAGGCTTAGCTGCTCCCGTAGTCTGTGCAGCGTCCTTCAGAGCTGTGCTGTGTGGTACAGTCTTTCTGTCTCCTTTTGGTGCAAGTCATCATGCCTTGTGTTTGCTGTTCTTAATCTCTAGTTAAGAGTGGACCTTGGAGACCCATGTGTGCATGTGTCCTACTGGGCGCTCAGGCTGTTGCCAAAACTTAGGCTGTTACAGATCACCAGGCCAGAACAGCCTTGTACCCAAGGTCATCCGGATATATCTGCAGAATAATCTCCAGCAAGCAGCGCTGATGCGGGCTTGATAGCTGTCGTAACTAGATAGGAAATGCTAATCTGATGGACAGTGACAGAACACTCTCCGTGGGAGTTGTACAGCTGATTGATTGAGAATGTGTGTCCCCAGCCCACCGACACAGCAGACACTGGTACCAGCCTGGTGCAGTAAAATGCTATCTGGGTGTACTCGTAGTTTGCAATCCTCATTATAAATGATTTTGAACTTTCTTTTCGTGTCCTTTACCCATTTCTCTGTAGTTGTGATTTTTTCCTCATTGATTTATAAGAGTTCTTTCTACATAAAAGCCATTTTCGTGTGATACAAGTTGCATGCTTTTTCTTGTCTGTGGTTATCTTTGGTTTTGTTTATGGTGGGTTTTGCCTTGCAGAAATCTTCCTTCATTGTTGCTTCTGGATTTCAGGCATATTTAGGATAGCTTTTTAGTTCAGGATATCAGCTTGTTTCTCATGGTGTCTTGTTTCTCTGTGGCGTCGTGACCGGTGGTTCTAACCTTGGTCTACAGGCTCATCGCCGAGTTCAAGCGCTTGGGGTCATCTGTCATCTATGCCAACTTCAACCGCATCATCCTCTGCACGAAAAAGCGGCGGATTGAAGATGCCATTGCCTACATGGAGTACATCACCAGCAGGTGTTCATATTTCTAGGATTCTGCTTCCCCTTGTGTTCTTCTTTGATATCATTTAACTTCTGCTGAGGGACATTCCTGTCAATAGTTTGTAGCACGAATCTGTTCATAATGAATTCTTTCTGCCATTGGATATCCCAAAGAAGCCTTTATTTAACTTTCTTTTTTTGGAAGATATTTTTGCTGGTATAGAATTATGGGTACATCTGTTTTGAAAGTTTTTTTTATTTCTGTCTGTATTTCTTTTTGGGTAATTTTCTCCACCGTGTCTTTGAACTCGCTCATCCTCTCCTGCGGGGTTTAGTGTGCCGTTCATCCCATCCAGGGGAGTTTCCAGCCTAGAAGCCTGCGGGGTCTTACATGTCCTAGAGCCTATTCAGCATGTTTTGTCTTTGTTCTGGCTTTGAGATTACATCGAGTTCAGGTTTAATAACCTTTTCAGTGTCCTGTTCTGCCCAGTATAACACTTGTGTCAGCTCTGATTTGTATTCAATTGATAGGTTTTTCTCCCAGATTCCGTGTTGTATTTCTCTGCTTCCTTGCAGAGCCTGTGATACTGGATCAGATGCCAGCAATTGTGAATCCGTGTGAATGCCTGTCTGTTGGATGCTTTTGCGTTTTGTTCTTTTGTAAATATTCTAGAGCTTTGTTATTAGGAAACAAATGGAACCTTTTGGGCATTTTTTGGGATTTGTAGGCAGGATCAGAGCTGTGTTTAGTCGAGCTCATTATTCCTCTGTTGAAGCAAGACTTGCAAGCACAGCCCCTGATGCCTCGTGAGTTACGTGGCCCTCAGAGAGTGGTGGGAGCAGGCACTCAGTCGTCCTTGCCCCGGCTTCCTGCAGTCTTGCACATGCTTGCTCCGTGCTCTGTGGTGTGCTCGGGGCACGCTTGGGGAGGTCTCGGGGTCTTCTGCAGCCCTCGCTTCTCCGGTCCCCTCAGCACCGGTTCCTGCCACGCTTTCCTGGTGGGTACAGAAGTCTCCTTAGTGTTGTGTTTCTCTTGTTCTCCAGAAACTGTGAGGGGTGATGTAATCTGAATCCACCTTAAGTTTGTTTTTAAGGAAGTGGAGGATAGGCAGGTATGAAAATAAAAAGGAAAGTGGAGAAAAACTGTTGATTTTACTTAAGCAATTTCTGTCTTGCTTCTTTTTAGCATCCATTCTAAAGAGATCTTCCATTCCTTGACAATTTCTTTCTCTCGGTGCTGGGAATTTCTTCTCTGGATGGATCCCTCCAACTATGGTGGAATCAAAGGAAATGTTCCATCTCGTATTCACCGTGGACAGGTAGGGCATAACCGTCTTGGAGAGCTGAGGCTGGAATCTGAAAGGACTTTGGGGTCCCTCTTTGTCCCTTTGCACACATTTGGTGGTCATGGGCTGAGTGCCTGGCATGGCTGTAGGCCGCATCCCGCAGCAGCACACCCGAGAGCACCTGCTCCTGCAGAGTCTGAGAGAAGAGATGAGCAGGTGTGGGACGTGCGGCCCCAGCAGTGGGAAGGGCTCAAGTTATCACAAAGCAGGGAAGGGCAGAGAGCAACCGTGGGGCAGGGGCTGATTTAGATGGGAAGGTTGTGCAGGCATAAGGCAGGGACAGGCAAGCAGGGATGGAAGAGGTGGGCCAGGGGCTAGTGTCAGATGGCCGTGACAATGGGGCAGGGCTGGCGCGGTGGTCACAGGTGCAGCACAGAGCAGCTAGGACCAGGCCACTTGGGACCAAAGGCCGAGTTGAAGATTTGGCTTTTAGTGATGGAGAGATTCTGAGTGGGGACATGTCCGGGCCTGACTTCCACTAGGGCCCCATGTTGTGGACAACACCGTAGGAGGTCAGGGCTAGCATCGGCCCAGGGGAGGGTGTAGGGCAGGGTGGAGTTAGGGAGATGGACTCGGGTGGGTTTTGAAGGTGGCGGGAATGGGCCAGTGGAATGGATATAGGTGACACCTGGGGGTATGGGCTGCACCTAGGAGCGTGAAGCCATGTGTCTATTACAAGATGGATGGGGAAGGAGGGCAAGTGAGGGGTGAGGGGGGCCATGCTTGGCCAAGGCATGTGGTGTGCACAAGGTCAGCCTGCCCTCGGTGCTGAGAGTGGATGGGAGATGGGCCACCCTCTGTACTAAGGGTGGGTGGGAGATGGCCGCCCTCCTTGCTGGGGTAGCAGGTGCCGTGGGCAGGAGGTGTGCGGAGACCTCAGTGGGGAGTAAAGTGTAGACATCGTAGCTGGATTGAAAGAAGGCGGTGGTTGCTGCTCTAAAGGCACGGGGGGTTGCCAGGGTGGACACGTTCTTGAGATGGAAGCCCTCTTGAGGGGCGAATCTGGTCACACAGGAGATTTCTGCAGTAGGGCTGATAGAATCGTCACCATCTCAGGAGATCTGGGATTCAGACAAGAGAACTAGTCACCTGAGGTCGCCTGCTTGTGAATCTCCCCTCCCTGGGAGGAGGGGGTTGAAGAATTTTAAAGTGAGTTCTCTGGAAGTACAAAAGGCAGATCCGCATCACCCTGTGGGGAGTGCTTCTGCACACAAGTGACCTCATCCTCAGAGCCGCCCTGCGGGGGTCTTCTCAGGCCCAGGGACGTGGAGTGACTGGATGAGCGTCACACTGGGCAGAAGGGGTCCGGCGAGCCAGGTGTGGGGTGACCGTGTGCCTCCTGCTGCTCCGGCAGAGACACAGCTGGGGTGGTGTCTGTGTTGCAGCGAGACTCCCCAGAGGAGGGCCGGGAGGAGCGGGAGCAGGAGGGCGCAGGAGCCCTGGAACCTGACGTGGAGGACATGCTGGAGAACAGCTGGAACATCGTGCAGTTCCTGCCACAGGCAGCCTCGTGCCAGAGCTACTTCCTCATGATCGTGTCAGGTGAGCCGCCCTGCCACCCCGCGGCCCAGGTGTGCATGGGGCCACCTGCTGCACATGCAGCGCAGGGCAGTCAACAGCGCCCCGGCCCCCGGGGCTCCCAAGAGGGGCCCTGCTTGCACAGTGTCCTCCGCCCGGGGCCTCGGCCTCCCCATTGTGCGCGGCTGTGTGCGCTCATTGTTCCTCCCCTCCCCCCGGGATCGGCCCGGCCTCTGGAGTCGTCCGGAAGGTGTACGCATGCGGGGAGTCCGGCTCTGGGTCTGCGGCGGGCCGGCCTGTGTCCCTGCCCGGCCTGCAGCCCCCGATCTTCCCAACCAAGCGCGGCCCCGCCAGAGCAGCGGGCAGACCCTCAAGGCCCCCTCTCCCCCAGCATATGTCGTGGCCGTGTACCACAGCATGAAGGAGGAGCTGCGGCGCAGCGCCCCGGGGGCCACGCCGCTGAGACGCCGGGGGCCCAGCCAGCTGTCGCAGGACGCCCTGGCAGCCGGCGCCCTTCCTGGTGAGCACGCCCTCGCTGTGTCCCGGGTCCCCTGGGTCCCCCGGGCCTGCCCTCTGCACCCCGCCGCGGCACAGGGGGGCACACAGCTGCGTCTCTGCCCTCCCAGGAATGATCACCTTCTCGCAAGACTACGTGGCCAACGAGCTCACGCAGAGCTTCTTCACCATCACTCAGAAGATTCAGAAGAAGGTCACGGGCTCACGGAACTCGGCCGAGCTGTCCAGCATGTTTCCGGTGCTCCCGGGTTCCCACCTGCTGCTCAACAACCCTGCACTGGAGTTCATCAAGTATGTGTGCAAGGTGAGGCTGCGACCCACGTGTACAGGGCACGGGCGCCCACGCTAGTGTGCGCAGGGCCCGGAGGGGTTCGGGGGTGGTTGTTCGTCCACGTGCGCAGGGCGGGGGTGGGAGGGCGTCCGTGAGGAGTGGGCGCGCTCATGCCCGTGTGCATGCGAGGCACAGGTGTCCGGAGTACATGCTCGTTCACTCCATCATCACTCACTGCCCCTTCAGAGCAGCCACTGTGGGAGGCGTTTGGGGTGAGAAGGGGAGGAGACAGGACAGACCCCCGTTGTCGTCGTGAAGCCTGCACTCCAGTGAGGGGAGGACAAGTCAGTGAGGGGCGGGTGGGCTCAGAGGAGCCGGTAGGGCCAGTGAGGAAGATGGGGCCCCTGGTGAGACCCAGTTGACCCTCAGGGCTTGGCCTAGGGAGAAGGTCAGGATGCAAAGGGTGGGAGGATCTGGGGTGCTGGTGAGAGGCGCGAGTGGAGCAATGAAACGGCGGGTGCTTGCAGTCTCGTGGCTGGTGGGACCCGGGACGAGCTCCTGCAGGAGCAGGCTGTGATGCAGCCGCAGGGGAGAGCTTGCTGGGCTGCTAAACGCCTCTCTGGGCGAGGCAGGCCGAGTCATCAATGGGATAGTGTTACCGGATGGCCCTCACTCAGGCGTCACCTCTTCCAGAGAGAGCACTTTGCTGCGCGTCAGGTTACCTCCCCGCGAAGTGCTTTTCAGGGACAGGGTGCTCCAGGCTCAGGTGACCTCTGCTGACGGTGAAAGGGGAGTTCAGTGTGCCGTCTGACCGGTGCGGTAGACTTCACAACAACATCTGTTTTTAATTCTGGGATAACTTACCTACAGTGAGATCTCACCATTGTTCATGTGTGTCTTGTGAGTTTTGGCAAAGGTTCACAGTCACGTGTCTGCATACGGTCAGGATGCGGAACATACTGTCATCCTGGGAACAGTGCACCCACCTTGGCCTGCGCTGATCTGTCCCGTCTCTTCTGCCTCCTTGTACTTCCTGAAATGCACACACAGTAGGATCGCTCTGGGGGGTGCAGTTGTTGGAGTGTTCAGAGTGCTGAAGCCCCTGACAGCAGGGTTCAAACAGGCACCCCCCGGGTCAGCTACCCTGCACTGTCTCTGGCCTGGAACCACGGATCATGCACGGTCATGTTGCCGTTTAGGTCTGGCTTCTTTGGCTCAGCAGAATGGGTCTGTGCTGCTTCTTGGGTGTTGCACGTTTCAGTGCTTTGTTCCTTCCTACAGCTGAGTGGCAGCCTATTGTGCAGAAGAACCACGGTCTTGGTTGTGCCCTGGTTGAAGTACATCTGGGTTTTTATTTTTGGATTTTTAATACAGTTGCTATAAACTTTTTTTTTTGGTAAGATTTTATTTGAGAGACAGAGCTCGAGCTGGGAGGAGAGGGAGAAGCAGTTTCCTTGAGAGCAGGGAGTCCAACACGGGGCTCGATCCCAGGACCACAACCTGAGCCGAAGGCAGACACTTCACCCACTGAGCCACCTAGGCGCCCCTGCTATAAACATTCTTACGTAGGTTTTTGTGTGAACGTAAGTGTCATTTTTTTTTTATTTTATTTTATTATTTTTTAAAGATTTTATTTACTTATTTGACAGACATAACGAGAGAGGGAACACGAGCAGGGGGCGTGGGAGAGGGAGAAGCAAGCTCCCGCTGAGCAGGGAGCCCGATGTGGGGCTAGATCCCAGGACCCTGGGACCATGACCTGAGCCGAAGGCAGATGCTTAACGACTGAGCCACCCACGCACCCCTATCAGTTTTTTTTTCTCTTGGGAGGGGAAGAGAGAATCTTAAGCAGGGCGTGGAGCCCGATGCAGGGCTGGATCGATGCGGGGCTGGATCACACAACCCTGAGATGATGACCTGAGCCAAAATCAAGAGTTGGAAGCCTAACCGACTGAATCACTCAGACACCCTTTAATTTATCGATTTTTTTTTAATGGGTTGAGCTTTTGATGTCATATCTAAGAGTGGGGGAGGGGCAGAGGGAGAGATTCTTCAAGCAGAGCACAGAGCCCAATTTGTGGTGGGGGGGAGTGGCTCGATCCCACGACCCATGAGATCACGACCTGAGCCAAAACCAAGAGTCAGAGGCTTAACTGACTGAGCTACCTAGGCACTCTTGAGTTAATTTTTATGCGGTGTGCATGTTGCAGATTGAGGTTTGTATTTCTGCATAAGTGTGTTTAATTATCCCAGTACTGTTTATTTGAAAAGATTGTCTTTTCTCCATTGAATAGTCTTTGTATCTGTTTCAAAACTTAACTGGCCATATACATGTGTGGGTCTTTTTCTGGATCTCTATCAATCTCGTCTGTTTTCCAGCACCACATTGTCTCGATTTACGTAACTTTATCAGTAAGTCTTGAAACCAGATGGTGTGAATGCCTCAACTTTATTTTTTTTTAAATTGCTCTATTCTGTCTAGTTCCTTTGCTTTTCATATAAATTTCTGAATCAGCGTATCAGTTTCTACCCAGAAAAAAAAATCTTTTTAGGGTGTTGATTGGAGTCATTTTAATCTATAGATTATTTTAGAGAGAATTAACATCTTAGTGCTGAGACTCTTAATTCGTGAACCACTGTATCTTTCCATTTATTTGGGTCATCTTTGGTTTTCTTCATCAGTGTTTTGGGGTTTTCAGCATATAAATATTGCACACATTTGCCCCTAAGGTTTTCAGGTTGTTTGATGCTATTGTGAGGGCACTTTTTTAAACTTTAGTTTCCAGTTGTTCACTGCTACTGTATAGAGATACGTATATAATATTTGTGTATATATATATATATCTTAAAGATTTTATTTATTTGACAGAGAGATAGCAAGAGCAGGAACACAAGCAGGGGGTAGTGAGAGAGGGAGAAGCAGGCTTCCTGCCGAGCAGGGAGCCCGATGCGGGGCTTGATCCCAGGATCCTGGGATCATGACCTGAGCCGAAGGCAGATGCTTAACAACTGAGCCGCCCAGGTGCCCCCAGTATTTGTCTATTGACCTTGTATCTTGCATCACATCTTTTTTATCCATTCATTTGTCAGTGGACACTTGGGTTGCTTCTCATAATTTGGCTATTGTAAATAATGCCACAGTAAATATAGGGGTGCATGTATCTTTTTCAATTAGTGTTTTAGTTTTTTTAAGTAAATACCTAGTAGTGGAATACTGAATCTTAAGGTAGCTCTATTTTTAATTTTTTGAGGAACCTCCATACTGTTTCCACATGGCTGCACCAGTTTGCATTTCCATCAACTCCACATCCTTACCAACACCTGTTATTTCTTGTGTTTTTTATTTTAAGTATTCTGATAGGTGTGAGGTGGTATCTCATTGTGCTTTTGATTTGCATTTCCCTGGTGATGAGTGAGGTTGAGCATCTTTTCATGTGTCTGTTTTGCCATCTGGATATGGCACTGATTTTTGAATATTGATCCAGCCTTGCATTCCTGGGGTAAATCCCACTTGGTCAGGATGTGCTATCCTTTGTGTGTATTGGTGGGTTTGGTTTGCTGGTGTATCATTGGGGATTTTTGAGCGCACATGAGGGCCGTTGGTGTGCCGTTTTCTTGTACTGTCTTTGGTATCAGGGTGACGTTAGTCTCATAAAATGAGTTTAGATGTGTTTCCCTTTTGTGTTTCCTAGAAGATATTACGTAGAATATTGTTTTTTCCTTAACATTTGGTAATTCACTAGGTGAATTTCTTTTCATTTTTTTTCTCTTTAATTCAATCCAGTTTTTTCAATCAGAAGTAGGTAATCTATATGTTTTTAAGCCTAACAGGTTGTTGATCCTCATTCTACATACTTGCAGATTTACCTGCTTGTGTCACTGGATAGGGCGGTGGGCTTCAAATTTGACTATAAACAGTTCTCTCAAAAATGTCTTCTAAGTGGTGTTAGGTTCTGTGGTGCTTTTGGCACCGAGCTGGGTGCGGGAGGGGTCTCCGAAGGTGTCTGTCCGGTCCTTGCCTCTCCTTCAGGGACGGGGGTTAGATGCCTCATCTGTGGCTCTGCACATACCACGAGAGCCAGACTTCCCAGCACCAGCTGCACAGGCTCTAGCATGAGGTTGAAGAGGCTTCTGTAGGCTGGTGTGGGAATCCCCCCATCATCGGGGGTTGAAATCACCCACCCTACAGATGAGATTGTCAAGTTCCATCGATTTAGGACTGCTGTCAGTAAGGAGGACGGGTAGAGCATGTCAGTATGCCCCAGAGTCCCCTGGAGCTGTCGGAGACCACGGAGGGCCCCACACTGAGGAACCATTGGTGTAGACGCTGTGGCTCCCCTCCTCTGACACGTCCAGCAGGAAAAGGGAGGGGTGAGGTGATGCTGAGGAACTGCAGCTTTAAGAGTCCCCCACAGGCTTTTCCAGTCCTGACAGAGCAGGGAAGCCCAGAGAGCCATCCCTGACGCAGGCTCTGTTCTCTGAAGGTTCTGTCTCTGGACACGAACATCACAAACCAGGTGAACAAGTTGAACCGGGATCTGCTGCGCCTGGTGGACGTGGGCGAGTTCTCGGAGGAGGCCCAGTTCCGAGACCCCTGTCGTTCCTACGTGCTCCCTGAGGTCATCTGCCGCAGCTGTAACTTCTGCCGGGACCTGGACCTGTGCAAAGAGTCCTTCTCTCAGGTGGGCGGCCGCCGAGTTGGGGATAACCCTAACCCTCCCGGCGCCGGGTCCTTGCGGCCGCTGGGTCCTCGCAGCACTGGGTCCTCGGGCGGAGGCAGGATGGAGGTGCTACAGCGCCCCCTCTTGAGCTTCCCTGCAAGTTCTGATGTAAAAGGCACTCGCTGCCATGGACCAGAGCAGTGTCCTCGTAAACATGCCTGGTGGTGACCTCGGTGTGGGCCAGCAGCCCCCGCCTCCCCCGCTCGCTCCACCCAGTCCCTCCCCAGCCCTGGGGAAGGCTGAGTAGAAGGCTGATCAGAGAACTGACCAGGCCCCTCCTCTTCCGCCTAGGACGGGGCTGCGCTGCCTCAGTGGCTCTGCTCCAACTGTCAGGTGGCCTATGACACCTCAGTCATCGAGATGGCTCTGGTGGAAGCTCTGCAGAAGAAACTGATGGCCTTCACTCTGCAGGACCTGGTGAGCAGTGGGCCTGGCACTGGGGACTGCCCTCCAATGGGCAGAGGCCTTCTGGATAAGCGATTTGCACCCAGGAGAAGCTATGGGTGTGCACACTTATCAAGTCACGACCTGGTCTTCTGAGGTGACCACCCCTTGGTTCAGGCGCCGTCCTTCTGACTCATTCTTACAGCATCTCTGGGGTTCCTACAGGGGTGGGGTGCTGGCTTCATGGATCTTTCATTGTAGTGAGAGGGGATAGACCGGGAGCAGACAGGGTGTGTAAGTCATGGTGAGCATAAAGAGAATGGGCGGGGCAGAGAGAGAGAGAGACAGGGAAGTTTTCAGCAGTGGATGGAGGGATATTCCTGCTGAGCGGGGACATCTGAGCAGAGATCTGAGGAGCTGTGATGGAATGGGGAGACCCGAGGACGGAGCAGTGGTGAGGAGCTCCCAGGACTCAAGAGTCAAGGGTGCAGTGCTCACACTGAGGGTGTTAGGAAGCACCTGGCACGTTTGGATAAATCCTGTTGCAAAGTCTCGCATTTTATTTATAGTTGAGCTGAAGGCCATGGCAGTGGAAGGCAGGGAGGGCCTGTCGAGTGAATGTGCTGAGCAGCTGTGACCACTGCTGGCTGCGACCGGCCTGGTGGGCAGGGGAGACTCCTGACCAGGGCTGCTCCTCATTGCAGATCTGCCTGAAGTGCCGGGGTGTGAAGGAGACCAACATGCCCGTGTACTGCAGCTGTGCGGGGGGCTTTGCCCTCACCATCCACACCAAGGTGGGGCTCCCACAGCCAGCCAGCCCTGCTGCCCTTTCCCATCTGCCCACATCTGCTTCTGTGCCTACACGCCGGGGCCTCCTTTGGAACCGGGTCTCACTGTGACTTCTCATCTCTGCAGGTCTTCATGGAGCAGATTGGAATCTTCCAGAACATTGCCCAGCACTATGGCATGTCATACCTCATGGAGACCCTGGAGTGGCTGCTGCAGAAGAACCCTCAGCTGGGCCATTAGCAACTTGAGCAGCGTCCCCCTTCTCTGCCCTGACCTCCCAAACTTGTGGCCATGTCCAGGACGGAGCACCAAGGAACCACCAGTCTCAGGGAGCTTTGGGGAGGGTCACGGGGCCCAGGAGAGACTTTACCTCTGGGTTCCCTGGGTCTCCAGCTGTGGGCAGGGCAGCCTACTCTGGGCCTGAGCAGTGTTCCCAGGGAGGGGCCCCAGGACTGTGTCTTGCTGACTAAACAGCCTTCCCTGCTGCTCAGGGGGTGTCTCTGGGCAGAGTCCCTGAGGGTAGCCTAGTGGGAGTTTGCGTCCCCGGTTTTTGATCACTTGTTACCACAGAGAACACGTCTGATAGCTTGACACCAGCAGGATGTGGGCCATTTCTAGGGAATCCAGAGCTGAACCCCGTGGGGACCTGGGCGTCTTTCACATGATGAGTTCCTGGGACTTGGGCTTCTTGTCTGGAAACTGTCAGAGTAGGGTCTGCAGGGGTGGGGGCTCACATGACAACAGTTCTCCTGTCTGCAGCAGTGAGACTGGAATCCAGGGTGTGGTGCCCCTGCCCTCTGACCCGCCTGTGCTGTGAGGAGCCCCCCCAGGTACACGTGCCGGTCTCCGCAGCGGGGAGCCCGAGGGCCAGGGGAGGGACGGTGCACACCATCTATCAGATTCTCACGTCGTGTCTTGTGCCTGGGTTTGAGGAAAGCATTTCTTCACGTGCAGAGTTTTAGGTTTTTCCCTTCAGTTCTGAGGGGTCTACGTCTTAGGGAGAGACAGAAACAGCATCAGCAGCTTTGTTGGGGTTGCGTGGTTCTGTTCTGCCTGCTCAGCGTCAGGGATTGGTCCAAGCCCTCTGACCCTGGTGGGGCCTGCCCGACCTCCAAAGGCCAAGCGGGGCATGCAAGCCCTGGGCCTGCTGCCCTCACCTGCCCACGGCAGAGCCGGTTAGAGCTGTGGCCTCCTTAATGCTGGACACCTGCCACCAGTGTATTCGGAGCTGGGTGAGGCCAGAGATGTGGGGCCTGGCCCTTAGCTCTCCCTGCGGGTTGGGCTGGGCAAGGGGAGAGGCCCAGGCCGTTGGGGGACCTGCCTTTCAGTGACCTCAGGAAGACTGCTGAGCAGCTGCTTCCGCTGTTCTGTCGGCGGCCCCAGAAGACTGACTCCACACTTGATTTCTAACTAAATGGGACTGGAAGCAGAAAAGGAACGGCCGAGTTGGCAAGGTGACAGGCAGGCTCACTGAATCCTACACGCAGACTCCAAATGGGTGGCCTCAGGGGAAGCCCTGTGTGAGCCCTCTGCCGCTGTGGGCTCTGGAGCCCGGCTTAAATTCATCCTTGTTGCCTAACTTCTCAGTATTATACTGTGAACTTCATTTTATTTGAATTTTACATTTTTTGAGATTTTTACGTGTGTATATGCAAGGCGTCTCAGTCTCTACACGGATGGAAGGAGGAGTAGCTAACGTTGGTCCCGCTGGGTGCATTGGCCCCTGGCTACTGCAATTTGGGTGTGTCTAGGCCCCGTGGCCACGAGAAACCCAACACTGGCTGGAAGGTGGATAGAGCCTGCATCAGCCCCCAGATGGAGATCGAATCAAATTAGGGCTGGGTGGGGGAGGAGGGGGCTAACCAGGCTTCCTGGAAGTGGAGCCGGAGAAGTCCCAGAGGGGATGGGGTGGGGCTGAGGGCCTGCACACCTCACCCGGTTACACTGCACACCCGCCTGCACCCCCAGTCCCTGCAGCAGGGTAGCTTCTGCAGAGGCCAGCTTAGGCCCTGGGGCATTTGGGGCAGCTGAGGGCCCCAGGGTCACTCTCCTGCTTGGGAATGGGAAACCTGAACCCCTGGCCATGGTCCTTGAGCTGCCATCCACCCCAACTGGAAAAGCCAGTTTCTCCAAAACCAGAGCTCAGTGTCAGCAAGCCAGACACCTAGGATGTTGCAGGCACTTGGGTGATGGTGGGGTCCTCACCCCGGGGATGGGAGGGTCTGGAGAGGGGGCCGGGTGGGGGCTTCTCAGGTGTGTGTGATTGCTGGCCTGGGTGGGTGTGGGCAGGTGGGAGGGCCGGCCCTGGCCACTTGCCAGTGTCACTTGGACTTGGGGACTCGGGGGTTGGGCAGGGTCTGAACCCTCACTGGACCTTGGAAGTGGTGGGATCCTAGCCGAGGTGATCTGTGCAAAGCATGGCCATGCTGCCGCAGACCTGTGTTTGCCATCCCCGTTGCTAGGGGAACCACCATCCAGCCAAGTTCTGGCAACCCCTCAAGGGGGGGCCTGGCCAGACAGGCACCAGGCAGAATCGCTGGATGTAATGACCACTGTGGCATCTCTGGGCGTGCTAGCCAATTGTCTGCATTCCTGACCCGCCGGTGCCAGCCTGTGCGCCTCCTCAACCTGGCCCTGACCTGTCCATCCCCAGCACCAAATTCCTGCCCTGCCCACCCTGTTTTAAGTGGGGCCTGGGATGCTCGCACAGGTTTGGAGCAAGAGCCAGTGTTTTCCTTAGTACGACTCTCTTCACCTGCCCTCGGGCCCCCCTTCTCCAGAGTCCCCATCCTGTACCATATTTTGAGGCTTAGGTTTGGGGTGACACCCCCACCCCCAGGAAGCTGGTAAGCTAACTGCAGGGCAGGTGCTGGGACAAGTTCTGTCAGTCTCTGCCCACCCCCATGGCCCCCCTGGTCAGATGTCACCACGACCTGGCTGGACATGGGGGTAAATGTGCCTGTGCAGCTCTGCACCCAGGCTGGTTGGAGGAGAGACAGGACCAAGGGTGCCCACACCTCCCACATGCAAGGACCTTCTCCTACATGTTTTCAGGGCCTCCAGATGCTTTTCCTGAAAAATGAGGCCAGAGGTTCTGGTCACACGTTTATTGGATTCTGGATATGTGGTTTCTTGGCTATGAAGCAAGCAAGGGGTGTGGGCGGGGAGGGGTGCGAAGCTGGGGAAGAGGAGGCAGGAGTTTGCCCCTCCCTCCCTTCAAACCTGGGGGAAGTTGGGGGGCCAGCCAGGGTCAGGGTACCACCCACTCTGTGTCGGCCCATTGCCCGGTTGCATGGGGGTCTTGTTCCCAGGTTCTCACTGTTGAGGTGCGAGGGCAGGGCCCCAGGTGCACCGTGCAGGTCTCTGTGGGCTGCCAGGGGAGCTGGGGCTCGGTCTCTTGGGACCACAGACTTCAGGGCCCTACCAGGTGGAGCCTTTGAGACAACATGATGGACGGTGTGTGGTGGGCTCAGAGCTGGGCCAAACCTCGGGGGTCTGTGAATGTGGAGTCCTGCCGGGAAGGTTCAGAGGTGGACAGCTCTGGTTCTGCAGTCTGCTCTGGAGGGGCCACCATCTGCTCGGATGGGGCAGAGGTGGGGCAAAGCCATGGGGGCGGGGCAGCCACAGCCAGAGCTTGGCCTGCCTGGCCTGGGTCTGCAGAGCAGGGGTGGGGTGGGGGAGGGGCCTGGCCCAACACAAAAGCCAGAGTCACAGGCCAGCTACCAGGGGAGTGTCTCGGCGTGCACACCTTGTCGAATTTCTTACGGCTGTACACCTTGTGTTTGTTCATAAACGTCAGCAAGATCCAGTCACACAGGAAGGAGCCCTGGGCCAGCAAGACCCACATGTGAGGGCCCAGGAGACACCACCCCTCCCGCCCCCACTACCAAGTACACCCCCCCCCCCACCAATGACCAGCATGCATTTCCTTACCACCCCGATGGAGGTCAGTGCTGTGGCCAGATTAATGATGGTGGGAATCAGGCTGAACTTCCCTGCCTTGGGAGGGGAGGCGGCCTTAGATGGTTGCGGGGTCTGGAGCAAGTGGGGCTCAAGGGAGGGTGGGGGAGATGGGGCTGTGCCAGCTCAGTCCTGGGCCTGCCTGAATCCTTAGTAGGCAGAGCGGGCTGGTTTACCTGTCCATGCACGATGACATCAATGCGGATCCCATAGGCCTTGATGAGTGTGCGGGTGGCGCTGCCGTTTATCTTGTAGTATTTGGCAAACCTGGGTAAGAATGACTATGGAGCATGGTGGTGGGTGCTCACGCATCACCCAAGATGGGATGCTCCAAAACTCCACCAACCCCTGGGCCCCTGAACCTTTGAGCGCCTGCCCTGTCATCTTGGAGCCCCTGCAGCCAGGGCAGACGAGAACCCAGGCATCCCAAGGCCAAGGTACCTGAAGTTGTAACCAGATGAGGCTGGGACATGCTTGGGGTCAAGCCTCCGGAAGGAGTACTTGGGATTGCACTTTGATGCTGACAGGTCCAGGTCACAGTCCCAGTTGATAATGACCCCAATGACGCCACCCTGCCCAGAGTAGGCACAGAGATGGGTGTCAGGGAGGGTACACAGAGGACCCTCGAGGGCTGTGGGGTTCTGCCCTGAGACTGCATATGGGGTGCTCATCTTGGGGCACCTGGGACAGCTCAGGGCTGAGAGCCGGGGTGCTTGGGGAGTGTCCTGCTTCTGAAGCATGAGAGGACACTGGTGGCCAGCTGTGTGACTAGGAGTCAATAATTTAGCAGGAGCCATGCATGCCCAGATGGGTTGGCCGATCGTGTTTCTCCTTCATCTGCCTGAACAGGGCCAGGGTTGGCCAAGACTGCAAAGGGGGTTGGCAGAGCCTTCGTCTGCAAGTAGGGGCCAGCATCTGAAAGGAGAGCTGGCTCCCCCACTGTCCCTTGGCTGCCCCCTCACCGTATGTGCCAGCTCTGTGAAGTTCTCCCCTGCCTGTTCCACAATGAAGCCCAGCTTGAAAATGGGACAGTAGAGGTCAGAGACCTCGTCAAACGTACAGCGTTTCAGGTAGCCGTCCTTCCGGTGCTCTATGTTGCCCCTGTGGACGGGGCCCAGCAGCATCAGGGGCTCTGTATCCAGCAACAGCACGCTGCTCCCATCCCTATAGCCCCACTGTCACCATACCCTAGTGGCTCTTACTTGGAGAACTGGAATTTAGGGTAGTGGATGCTGTTCTTGATGAGGATGGTGAAATTTGGGGCCATCTTGCCGAGAAATTGGCTGAGGAGGCACAGACTGGATATGTTTAGTCTTCCCGCCCCAGTCCCCCTCCCCGGCACATCCCGGCTCTGCTCAGTGAGGAAAGGGAAACAGAGTCGTGCTGGGGTGTCAGCTGGGGCCCGGGTAGGTGGGGTCACCGGGGGTGCACACCTGACAGAGGCCCCGTCTTCCACCGGGCACCAGCCCGACACCTCGCAGGTCTTGGCGGAGCCTTGGTAGTAGGGCACGCAGCGCCCGGTCCGCAGGCCTGCGGGCAGACGTGCACTCAGGGGGCGAGGGGAGCCGCCCCGTCCCACCCCCCGCTGGCGTGCACTGACCGTTTCCCAGCATGTCCAGCTGCCCGGCCACGCAGTCCTCGTCTGAGTCACAGGTGGCGTTGCTGACCCTCATACTCTAGGGAGGAACCGGCTTGGTCAGGAGGCCCACACCTTCTGCGGCAGGCACAGCTGGGTCCCCTCCCTCCGCCCCAGCTCTGCCCTCCACCTGGCCTCACCTCTGGGCAGGTTCCGAGGGTCTGGGAGGGTGTGACCTCAATCCTGGTGATGATGCTGAACACGCTGCCTCCCTGGGCTCAGAAAGAGGGGACGGTCGGCCGAGGCGGGCAGCGCAGGCACCCCTCGCTCCTTCCCGGGGGCGCGCGGGGGCGCGCGGGGCGGGCAGGCGCACCTCGGGGGGCTTCACGTACTCCTCCACGTCCCACACTTTGTGTTCGGAGAAGGTGATGCCCTTGACCTTGGTGATGACGGAGCTCTCGGGGCCTGTCTCGCTGTCCTGGTAACTCTTCTGCACGATGAACACGTACCTGCAGGACGGGTAGGGCCGCTCTGGAGGCGACCCGGGGCCCTACCCCGCCGCTCCCCGTGGCTCCGGGCCCCGGCGCCCCGGCGCCCCCGCGCCCCCGGCCCAGTCGCACCCACCACACGAAGTAGAGCAGGATGAGCAGCTGCACCGCGCGATACACGACGCCCAGGCGCCGGTTCTTGACCACGATCACCTTGGGCGTCTCGTAGTCCCAGAACGCCGACCAGCAGCCCCGGGCCAGACGCCTGGCCGCGTCCGTCCTCGCGGGGGGCTTGGGCTCGGCTGCCGCCATGGCCCGGAGCTCCGCCAGGGGCGCGACGCGGCGCGCACCCTGCCGACTAGGGGCGCGGACAGGGGCGCCCCACTGCACCGCCCCGGGGCGTGGCCTGGAGCGCCCCGCCCCGCCCCCACCCCTCCAGGGTCGGAGCCTGGAGCGCGCGGGGGCGCACCTGGCAAATGCCGCCAGGTGGGCCCGGGGCCGGCAGAGCCGAGGCGGCAGCCTGCGCCCCACCGCGCCCGCGGGGGGCTCGAGGATGAACCGGGGCCCGCACGTCCCTGGGGAGGACACAGAGCCACCGGGGGACTTGGTTGAGATGCGGGAGGAGAACGCGGCCAGGCTCCGCCGGTCTCCTCGCGTCTCCAGCGGCGTCTGACCGCGGCGCTCGCCCAACCCTAAGGGCGGTCCCTGTTTGATACAGTTTTCCCCGCTTTATCGAGATACAATTGACTTATAACGTGATGTGCATGGTGTGAGTTTAAGGTGTACGAGGAGGTGATTTCCGAAGGGCCGTCCTTGGTGCCTGCCCCGCTGCCCAGCAAGGACACCCTCCTGGCCGGGTTCACGCAAACCCTGGGGCCCTCGCTTTGCCCAAACAGCCCCTTTGCTGGGTCTGCGGACGCGCTCAGAGCCGCTCACCTCGAGCCCCCTCCTCCGCCGGATCGCCCAGCCCTCGCGTCTGTCCTGGACTTTGACTATGGCTCCCAACTCTGCTTTTATCCACTTCCAATCCATTTCTGTTTTCTTTGCAAACCAAAGTTGTTTTTTTTTTCTTAAGACTTTTTATATCTTCACCTCATTTCATTATTTTGGAGCAAATCCCAGACATCATAGTATTTCACAAAATGATAAATTTCTTACACCTTTATTTAGGTGAAATTCACTTAGCATCTAATTAACCATTTTAATGAACAGATTGTTTAATGAACAATTAAACAGAGCGTTGTACAACCACCATTATCTACTTCCAAAACATTCTTATCATCCCCAAATAAACTCCCTGTTTTCTCCTCCTCCCACCAATCTCCTTTCTGTGGATTTCTCTCTTTTGGATATTTCATATACTGGAATCATACAATATTTTTCGTTTTGTGTCTGCCTTCTTTCACTGGGCATAATGTTTCCAAGGTCCATCCAGGTTGTAGCATGTATCGATACTTAATTCCTTTTTATGGAAGAAGAATATTCCTGTGAGTGATTATTCCACAATTTATCTACTCATCTTTGGATAGATGTTTGGGTGTTTCCACCGTTTGGCTCTTATGACTAGTGCTGTTATGAATGTTTGTGTACAAGTATTAGTTTGAACACCTGTTTAAAATTCTTTGGGTATATAGGAGTGGAGTTTCTGGGTCACATGGTGATTCTGTGTTTCACTTTTTGAGGAATCCCTATACGGTTTTCCAAGCAGCTGAACCACTTTCATTCCAATCAGCCGTGTATGAGGGTTCCAATCTCTGCACATCCCTGTCAAGATTTGTTAGTTTCAACTCATTTACTCATTGCCATTCTAGTAGGGAAAGTGGTATAACTTGTTTGGATAAACATCTATTCAGGGGCGCCTGGGTGGCTCAGTCGTTAGGCGTCTGCCTTCGGCTCAGGTCATGGTCCCAGGGTCCTGGGATCGAGTCCCGTGTCGGGCTCCCTGCTCCGCGGGAAGCCTGCTTCTCCCTCTCCCACTCCCCCTGCTTGTGTTCCCTCTCTTGCTGTGTCCCTCCCTGTCAAATAAATAACTAAAATCTTTTTAAAAAATGTCTATTTAATCTTTTGCCGATTTTAAAATTAGGTTTGCCTTTTTGTTGTTGGTTTGTAACAATTCTCTACGTATTCTGAATACTAGGCCCTTGTCAGATTTCTCTCCCATTGCAGGTTATCTTTTCACTGTCTTGGTAATATCCTTTGATGCACAAAAGTCTTTAATTTCAATTAAATCAGTTTGCCTTTTTTTTTTCTTTTGTTGTTTGTTCCTCTGGTGTCATTTGTAAGAATCTACTATCTATTACTAAATCCAAATTTATCTACAGCTTCAGCACAATCCCTACCAAAGTCCCAGGTGCAGAAATGGATAAGCTGACCCTAAAATTCATATGGGAATGCAAGGGACCCAGAACTGCCAAAATAATCTTGATAAAGAAGAGCAGGTTGGAGGACTCACACTTTCCAAGTCCAAACCTCACTGCAAAGTTATAGTGATCAAGGCAAGTTACTGTAGGACCCAACAATTCCATCCTCACTTACTGACACAAGGATAGAAATGCAGATTTATGGAATTGAATTGAGAACTGAGAAGTAAAATATAAATATGTAAAATAGAATAAAATAAATTGATTTTTGACAAGTACCAAAATAATTTAATGGGAAAGAGTAGTCTGTCAACAAATGGTCCTGGGGAACTGGCATCCACATGCAAAAGAATGAAGTTAGACCCCCTACCTCATATCGTATATGGAAACTAACTCAAAATGCATCAAGGACCTAAATGTAAAAACTAAAACCTTAAAACTCTTAGAAGAAAACCAGGGAGTAAACATTTGTGTCTTCAGATTTGGCAATGTATTCTTATAAATTACAACAAAGATATAAGCAAAAAAAGAAAAAAATAGATAAACTGGACTTCACCAAAATTAAAAACTTCTGTGCTTCAAAGGATGCCATTGAGAAAGAGAAAGGATACCCACAGAATGGGAGAAAATATTTGCAAATCACATATGTGATAGGGATTTGTATCTTAAAAAAAAAAAACTATTGCAACTTATAACAAGATGACAAATAACAGATTTTAAAAATGGGCAAAATATCTGAATAGCAATTTTTCCAAAGAAGATACAGAAATGGCCAGTCAGTACATGAAAAAACTCTCAATATCATCAGTTGGAAGGGAGATATCACTTCATACCACCAGGAAAGACATGACAAATGTTGGCAAGGGGGGGCACCTGGGTGGCTCAGTCGTTAAGCATCTGCCTTCGGCTCAGGTCATGATCCCAGGGTCCTGGGATCGAGCCCCGCATCGGGTTCCCTGCTCGGCGGGAAGCCTGCTTCTCCTCTCCCACTCCCCCTGCTTGTGTTCCCTCTCTCACTGTGTCTCTCTCTGTCAAATGAATAAATAAAATCTTTAAAAAAAATGTTGGCAAGGATGTGGGAAAATCACACCCTTCTTACATCTGGTGAGACTGTCAAAATGGGGCAGCCACTTTGGAAAGCCCACATGGCAGCATATCAAAAGGTTTGAACTTATCACAGGATCCACAATTCCACCTCTAGATGGAATATACCCCAAAGAAATGAAAACCTGTTTTCACACAGAAACTTGTACATAAATGTTCATAGTATTATACATCATGGCTGAGATTAGAAACAGCCCAAATGTCTATCAACTGATGAATGAATAAATAATATGTGGTATATCCATACAATGGGATAGAATTCTTCCATAAATGGGAAAAAAAGTACCTTATATGTTCCATACATTACAACGTAGGTGAACCTAGAAAACATGCTAAGTGAAAGAAGCTAGTCCCTGAAGGCCACCCGTTGTATAAGTCCATTTATATAAAATCTCCAAAACAGGTCAATCCACTGAGAGGAAAACAGATTAGTGGTGCCAGGGCATGGGTGAAGGGGGTGGGTCCTGGTGCTGCCTGGGTGCTGGGTGGGATGAGCCACTGCTCCCTGTTGCCTGTGGCCTGGGGATGACAGAAACCCTTCCCTGGGGTGTTGCCCTGTCCCGGGGCCTGCTGGTGCTGGAGTTGGCAGAGAGGGTCTCTGAGTCTTAGAGGGGAGGGGCTGGTCCGTCTGTCCACGATGGGTTACAGGAGCATAGAGCACATGGCTTTCCCACTGGCCAGGCGCTGGTCACTCCATGTATCCGATGCAGTGGCGAGCCTGATCCCACCAACTGGGAGGGGCGCACATCCTCACTCAACATCTGGCACACTGACCCCACCAACAGAAGCTTCAACCAGAGGCAAGGCAGTGTGCTTAGGGTATTACAACCTCTTCTGGATCCCATCGTGATTCAGGCAGGTGAGCTGAAAGAGAACAGCTCGTCCAGGAGGCCAAGTGGAGGGAACACTCCAACTCAGAGCAGAGCACTGCACGGGGGCGGGGGGCCGTCCAGAGCGCGAGAGGATGGTCAGGGTGTGCAGGGTGGTTGGGAGCCTGGGGCACAGGGTTCAAGAAAAGAAAGCCGAGAAGTGATGAATAACGGAAGAGCATGATCTGATTTGAGCAAAGACTTGCGTCCGCAGGTGGCTATGGCTTGTTGGGTCCCAGGCATGAAGACTTTTAGGAAATGTGCCTGAACAGTCTGGGAGAGACGGTTGAATTCCAGTGATGAAGACAGATGAACAGAAAGAGCATGTCCCAGCTGCAGGTCACCTCCCTGCGGGCGAGGCTTGGCCCTGGCAGCCCTGAGCACGTTTTGTCTTCTGCATGCATGCAGTGGGTCTTCCTTCTCTTTTCTCAGAAGAAAAGGTGTACTATATAATCTTGCATTTGTCCCAGAATTTATTGATTTCTGTTCTTGAGATGAGTCTCCTGCCCTGGGTCATTAGGGATGCACGGCAAGCTGCCAGGAGAGCACGAGGGCCCCTGGGAAGGTTCCAGTTACTAGAACAAATTTACTGCGGAGTCTGCGTTTGATTGGGTTCGGGAGACTCCAAACACTTACTGGGAAGTTTATATGAGGTGTCCGGAAGTCTGCTGGAAAGAAAATGAAGAAATCAAATGGGAGCGGCTGGCTGGCTCGGTGAGTAGAGCATGTGACTCTTGATCTTGAGCTTGTGAGTTCAAGCCCCACGTTGGACTTAATTTAAAAAAAAAGAAAAAGGAACGAAAGAAAAGGAAAAAACCTGTTTAATGAAAAAAATAAATAAAATGAAAACACTTAATGCAAACTCCCCAGGCTGGGAGAAAACCAGTGTGGACCCTAGTCATGGAACTTGTAAGGACAGTCACAGTGTCCATTAAAACTTATAATTTGCATAATGCTTAAAAAAAATTTTTTTTAATAATTTTTTATTGTTATGTTAACCACCATACATTACATCATTAGTTTTTGATGCAGTGTTCCATGATTCATTGTTTGTGCATAACACCCAGTGCTCCACGCAGAATGTGCCCTCTTTAATACCCATCACCAGGCTAACCCATCCCCCACCCCCCTCCCCTCTAGAACCCTCAGTTTGTTTTTCAGAGTCCATCGTCTAAAAATTTTATTTATTTATATGAGAGAGAGAGAGAGCATGTGAAAGGGGGAAAGGCAGAGGGAGAAGGCAGTGCCCCACACTGAGCAGGTGCGGGGCTGGATCCCAGGACCCGGGGATCATGACCTGAGCCAAAGGCAGCCGCTTAACCGACTTCGCCCCCAGGCGCCCACATAATACTTTCAAATAAGCTAAAGAAATTAGTCTTAGGAGGACTGAGTCTCATAATAGTTTTTCAAGTGGAAAGGTTTACAAGTGAAAATTTACAAGTGAAAAAATTAAGTTATTCAATTGAATTCTAAAACCTTTGGTTAACCGGAAATATTACTCTATGGCAAGAATAGAATAAAAATATCTATAACAATGTAAAAACAACCAAGTTATAAGTAAAAGTTCAAAATAAAATAAAAGCAAAAATAGATTTCCTTTTCTAAACAGCTTTATTGAGATCAAATTCACATGCCATAGGATTTACCCATTTGGAGTGTGGAACTCATTGTTTCTAGTATCCTCACAGGGTTGTGCAAACATCACAACCTGACTTTAGAAAGCTGGCCGCCCCTAAGAGAAGCCCCACACCCATCACAGCCCCCCGACCGCCAACTGCGCCTGGACCCCGCCCCCGGACCCCCTGGACCCCGCGCGTTCCTGCGTCTTTACGACGCCCCCGCGCGCGCGGCCCGGCTGCCTGGGGCTCCGTCCGCCCCCGCGCTGCGGGGCTCCGGGCTGGGGCGCAGAGCCGCTCCGACCCTGCGGGGATTCGGACCCGAGAGAGAACCGCCTCTTGGGCGCGGCCAACCCACAGGGCCTGAGAGAGGTTAGGGACAAACGGCCCTTTCAGGCCCCTGAGTTTGGGGCGCGTTGTTAGGTTGCGCAGAGGCGGGCTCGTGGCGCCCCAGTCCCTCTGGGTTCCTGCTCCAGCCCCGACTCTGCCCCGCGTCTCCCGGAGCCCCTGCCCCGCGTCCCGGAGCCCCTGCCCCGCGTCCCGGAGCCCCTGCCCCGCGTCCCGGAGCCCCTGCCCCGCGTCCCGGAGCCCCTCCGGAGCCGCTGCGGGGCGGGATCTCCCGGCCTGAGCCTCCCACCCGGGGCCTCCTGTCCTCGGCCCGCGTCCTCGCTCCGGCTCCCGGGACCCCCACCTCGCCCTGCACGTATCTACCTCATTCCGCGTCATCTATTTGTGGACAAGACCATTTCCCAGACCAGACCAAGCACTCCTAGGTGGCGGGGGCACGCAGTCCTTTCCTCTCGGAGCCTAGCGCCTAGTCAATAATGAATGTCAGTAAACGTTTATCGGATGAACAGTGTCTGCAGAAATAAAGACCCCCCCCCATGAGGACAAACGGGCCGTTTATCCAGAGCTTGGGAGTCAGCCCCCAGGTGAGATAGGCAGACCCACAGGTGGGGATGCTGGAGGCAGAGAAGGTGGTGCAGGTGCCCAGAGGGGAGTGGGGGGCGTCCCACCTGATTGGTTAGGGGGCACATTTGGCTGGTCCTGACTTGGAAGTGGGGAGAGCCCAGGGAAGCTTGGGTCACTGACCCAGTGCTGGCTGTCCGGCGGGTTGCTGCAGGGGCTGTGGTCAGCTTCCCCCGCTGCTGTGTGGCCCCGCCATGCCCACTTACATGCCTTCCCTCCTGCACACTGGTGAAAGTCTCTGGCGGGGGGGGGGGGGGGGGAAGGTGGGGACGGGTTGGAGGTAGGAGAGGAGTTCCACTGACTTTGCCCTGGGCTCCCTTGGCCTCAGTCCTCCTGATTCTCCCTCGGGGTTGGAGTCTTTTCTGGAATTAGGGCTTGGCTGGTCTCACTTCGAGCCGGTGGGGCCCAGGATACAAAGGCAGGACCGCTGAACACTTGGGCGCTTACCAACGGCCAGGAAGAGATTTTCTGCAAGAACTGTGCAGTCCGGCGCATGTGCCCGTGTGGCCGGCTTCTCTGTGTGGAGGTGTGCGGAGGCCTCCTGCCCTGGGGCCAGGGCCCTGGTTGGGGACACGTGGCCTTGTCTCAGAGATGGCAAAAGTTGCAGGGTGGGGAAGGCCCCAAAATATGGCAGTCATGGTTCAGGGAATAGTATATTGGGATCTGTAATCTTGGGCAAGGTTTGGCATCAAGCTTTTATTTGCCAGATTGAGATACTATGGAATCATACCTGATGTTGAGGTTTTTTGAAGGAAAGACTGTGGACAGATGGACAGATGTCTGGTCTGAGACATTTATAAACAAATATCCAAGAAAAGAGACTCCATTTATAAAAGAATATATATTTTTAAAGATTTTATTTATTTATTTGAGAGAGAGAATATGCATGCACGAGTGGTGGGGGTGGCAGAGGGAGCAGGCTCCCCGCTGAGCAGGGAGCCTGATGCAGGACTCGATCCCAGGACCCCGAGATCATGACCTGAGCTGAAGGCAGACATTTAACCGACTGAGCCACCCAGGGACCCCCATAAAAGAATATTTTAACATAAGTGGGGGTTGTGAATGCCAGTTCTTCAAGTTCAGGAACAACTCTGCCTCCAGGGCTGGTGAGGAGGGCCTGTGCCTCGGCCCCCATTCCCCCCACCCCGGAAAACACAGGGGGAGTGGCCAGGCCAGCAGAACGGGATGCCGCCCAGCTCCTCAGTACAGCACAGGGAGCCCATGTGTCCACACCCCAGGAGAGGGGCCTCAGAAGGGATGGCCCTGCCCACACCTGGGTCTGGACATCCAGCCTCCAGGACGGTGAGGGACGCATGTCCATGGTTGGGCCACCCACCGTGTGGTATTTGTTGCGAAGCTCTAGTGGACTGGTCTAGATGTCCTGCATGAGTGGTTAGGCAGCATATGTGGTGTCTCAGGCTGGTCCTGAGTCGGGGAAGCTGTTGTGTCGTCGGCTTAGGGCTGGTCATCCAGGGCCAGCTGAGAGACTGGAGTTGGCTTCTGCAGTCTGGGGGCCAGAGTTCCACCTTCATGGACCGTCTGGCAATCGTCTGTTTGGATGTTCCGTCGTCCAGGACCAAAAGGTGGGTCTTGGGTTGCACCATGGAGATACTTGGCCACCCCGTGAGAGCTGTTTCTGAATGGTGTGAACAAGAGCCTGATCTCGGGGGCCTGGGGGTCTGGGAAGTGCTGGTGGGAGCCTCCAGGTGGGCGGCCTCAGTGGCCCCCAGAACATCCGGTCTGAGGCCGCCCTGGAAGGCCGTGCTCACGCCCGCCATGCGCTATGTTGGGCAGCAAGTGGGCCCCCCCCCACACATCGCCATCTGCCAGGAGGTGAGACCCCCACGTAGACTTTACCACTGCTTCTCTTGGGGGGGGGAAGTATTTAAACACCATTACCGCTCACACTGAAATAGACTGTGAAGTGCTTTTTCACAGGTGAAACGTGAACGCGTGATGGCGCGGCCTGTGCCTTGCCCAGCGGCTTCCCTGCTCTCTGCCTCCCTGTCTGTCCGTCTTCAACAGCAGATCAAATAGGCTCCCAGTTTATGCATCTCTTTGGAAACCAATTAGCAAAACTTGTGAATGAAATGCTCTAGCAGTGCTTTTGTCGCATATGAGCCACAGTTTGTTGCAGATAAACTGAACTATAAAATGACAGAAAACCCAAAACTCAGACAGGCGGTGTATCCTATGACTTGCTATTTTTGTTAAGCGAACTAAAAACAGAGCAAAACTCCTCTAGCCTCTCTGAGATGTCTGTGTTGCTGAATTTGTCCTTGTGGGAATTTGCATTTCACACTGGCAGCAGGTAATTTCTGGATACTTCTGTGAGGTGAACTGATACTGTGCTGACGTGTGTTGTAGGTGCTCTGGGGAAAATGCCGCCTTGGTCTTCAGACCAGCGGGCGTTCCTGTTGATGTGAGTTGAGCAGCAGGTAAATCAGAGCCGTCAGGGCCTCCTCCCTGCCCCAACACCTCGATCTGGCTGCAGCGTCTCCTCATGACCTTCCTGACTGGCAGCCTGCCCCCATCCAGGTGTCCCCGGGCAGCCCTGTGCTGGCTCCACCATCCACCGTCCTGCTCGCTGCCCGGGCCCTCCTCCGCCATCTGCGTCCCCTCCAAGCACGCCGGCCACTGTGTGTCTGCCTTTCTCCCTGGGGGGATTCTGTGTTTCTAAATTCCTGGCACCCAGCACTGACCAGCCCCGTGGGGAGGACTCATCTTGCAGTCCAGAGTGCTCCCCGCCTCAGGACCTGAGCAATCTGGGAAGCTTGGCAAACAGAATTCCACCGTGCTTTTCAGCACAGGTGACCCCAGTAAGGGACAAAGGGGTGAGGTGAGCATGGCTTCCCTGGAATCCTCTGGAAACCAGAGGTTCAGGGGACACAGAAGGGACAGGGGGAGCCCACCCTTCCCCTCACAGACAGGGAAACAAGGTCCCAGAAAGGCTCAGCTGTCCTCCCAAGACCCTGCAGCAAATAGAGGGAACCTGGGATGGGAACCCAAGGCAGGTCTGAGTTTAAGGCTGGTGGGCCCTGGGTCAGGGGCTGGCAGTCCTGAGGGGAGCCCTGCCAAGGGTGCAGAAAGACAAATTCGAGGAGAGGTTCTGGAACACGGACGAGGAGGGGATGGAGAGCAAGCAGGAAACACAGGCCTGGGGCCAGAGGTTCAGAGCTGGGTGGGGGGGACACGTCCTCCTGCGCCCGCAGGGCTTTGGAAGACAGCGTGTTGGGGTTTGAGGCCTCAGTGTCAGACCGCTCCCCACAGGCTCTGACCTCCGGAAGACACCAGAAAGAACAGGGAGTGAAGGCTGATGGACTCCGGGTTGCGCTATGGGATGATGGAATGTTCTGGAACTAGATAGAGGAAGTGGTTGCACAACATTAAGAATGCACTAGATGGGGGTACCTGGGGGTCTCAGTCGGTTGAACATCCAACTCTTAGTTTTGGCTGAGGTCAGGATCTCAGGGTCATGAGATTGGGTCCCCGAGCTGGGCTCTGCACTCAGCGGGGAGTCTGCTTGAGATTCTCTCTCCCTCTGCTCCTCCCCTCGCTCGTGCTCACGTGCTCTCTCTAATCTTTTTTAAAAAGTGCACTAAATGCCCCTGAATTGTTCACTTTCTTATTTAAATTTTTAAAAAAGATTTTATGTATTTATTTGAGAGAGGATGCCCGAGAGAGCACAAGCCGGGGAAGGGGCAGGCAGAGGGACAAGCAGACTTCCCGCTGAGCAGGGAGGCTGATGTGGGACTCGATCCCAGGACCCTGAGATCATGACCTGAGCCAAAGGCAGACACTTAACCCCCTGAGCCACCCAGGTGCCCCAATATCACCTTATTTAAAAAAATAAAAGAACTAGGGGCAAAATTGAGGGCCAAACTGTCAGCTTTATGAATGGCCAGCCAGGCAACCAGCCAAATACCCGAATGCAGGTGGGGGCAGCTCAGGCTTAGATCTGAGGCTAAGCTGGGACTCCTCCCAGATCCAGGACTGGAGAGTCACCTGTGCCTGGGGGCTGCTGTGCCCACTTCCCCAAACTGCAGAGGCTGCACCCCAGAGTGTGGGCAGGGTCGGCTGGGCCCCGTGTCGTCCTGCCCGCCTGGGGGACACAGGAGCTGGACTGAGCAGGGGGGCTCAGCAGTGAGGGTCCCACAGGTGCCCTCTAACAGCAGAGAGGCTCCTGTTTAACTCAGAGAGGCACAGTCATTCCCCAGAGAAAGGGGTGTTGAATATTCGTTTCCCACTCAGTGATAAAAAGAGATTGGCTATCAAGCCATAGAAGACCCGTGGAGGGAACTTAAATGAGTCTTAGGGAGTGAAGGAAGCAGTCTGGAAAGGCTGCATTTGTAGGGTTCCAATTCTAGGACATTGGCGAAAGGGCACAATGATGGAACCAAAAAAGATCCCCCAAAAGATCCATGGCTGCCAGGTTTTTGTGGGCAAAGAAGAACAGGTGGAGCCTAGGGGTTTCAGGGCAGTGAAAACACTGTGTGCTAATGTGGTGGCATTTGTCCAACCCACAGAACATCCAGCACCAGGAGTGCGCCCTAAGGAAGCTGTGGACTCCCGGTTGTAATAACATATCAATCAATATCAGCTGACCAGTTGTAACAAGGCCACCGTGCCCACAGGAGTTAGTAATAGGGAAACACGCAGGGGAAGTGGGGCTATATGGGAACTCTCTGTACTTGCTGCACGATTTTTCTGGAAACCTAAAACTGCTCTAGAAAATAATGTCTATTAATTAAAAAAAAAATCTATCTTGCAAGGGAGACTGGGGCAGGGGAAGGAAGCAGGTGCCCACGCGGGTGCTGTGGGGGCAGGGATGGCCATCTTGGGCACTGACAAGCCGCGAGCCCAATGGCGAGCGCCGGGCATCTGCTACTGCTGTCGTCACTGCTGTCTGTGTCCTTGGCCTGGAGGACCAAGAGCTTTTTCCTGTTCCATAAGGTCAGCGCGCACCCTGCGGCGTTGCACCCATGGAGGCGGCCCCCACTCGGGCTCTCTGGGGCTCCCAGCTCCTTTCCTGCAGGTGCCTACTCCCACAAGTCTTGTCTGGGCTCCTGGAAAGGAGGATGCCTGGGAGCACAGCCTCCTTCCCAGGCACTGGGGCCCCCAGTTTGGCTGATTCTGGCGCCCGGGGCCCCAGTACCAAATCCAGGCCAGAGGGCAGCACGGTGGGGGTGGGGTGGGGGCAGAGCGAAGCGTCTCTGCTGGGAGGGGTTTGGGCAGCGTGAGAGTGCCTGTCCTGGCGTCCCCTCTTCACCTTCCTAACGCACAAGTCCCCCTGCATCCCAGAGGCTCCCTCGGTGCCCCAGGGCAGGAGTGACCTTCCTCCTCTGGCCGCTTCTCACCTGCAAAGCCGCCTCACTGGGCTCCAGGCCCCGGTATCCGAGGGCCTTCCCAGCTTCAATTTTATGTCAGTAAGATCTTCAAACCCAAACCAAAGTTCTCGCTGTGAAAACCCGCGACCGAGTCTCCAGCGTGGAAGCATCAGCCCCGAGTGCTCCAGGACCCCGCGGTCCGTGGGCCCGGCTGGGGGACCCCCTGCACTCGGTTGGCTCCTGCTGGTTGTGTGTGAGGCACAGGTGGCATCTCCCAGGACTCGGGACCCCCGACCCCCCACAGTCCCGAGTTGGGGGAAGCCAGGCGGGAAGCGCTGGCCCAGGGCAGAACACGCCACTCTGCGCTCAGCGTTTTGTTTTACTTTGGAAAATATACCCATTTTTCATAAAAAGTTGTTATTTATGTTAACATGGTACAGGGATCCTATTTTTAAATAGGTTTATGCATAAATAGGTAAAACTTCTCTCAGAGTTAGTGCCCACACTGGGAAAGTCATTAGCTAGAACCCACACCAACATCAGCTTTGAGCACCTTAGTAAGTTTTTGAGTTTGCAAAGGAGTTTTCAGACCAAAGGTTTGAGAACTTGGATCAAAGGCCTCGAGAGCAGGCGGCCTCCCGTGGTGGGGTGGGACCCCAGCCACAGCTCCGGGCTGGCTCTGTGACCCCGGGAGGCACTTGCCCTCTCTGAGCCGGTGCCTCGGTTCACCCTCCTGTCCACGTGGCTCACGACAGACACAGACCTCCTTAGCTCCCTACCCCCCTTTCCTCCGGCTCCCCCGGCCATCGGACCCATCAGGTCTGGAATATTCCAGGAACCTTCAAGATTCGCAGGAGGAAGGGGAGGGTGTTGCTGAATGGAGCCACCCTAGCAGGAAGCTGGGTCTGCCGTGAGGGCCTGGAAACGGCGCCCAGCTTTGCAGAGGATGGGAGAGGCATGCTAGGACCGCGCCGAGTGCCGGAGCCGCTGCTGCATCCCCAGCAGCCTGAACCCGCAGACGTTCTGCACGCCCAAGACCATCTTCCTACAGTGTGTGCCTTGGCGCAAGGTGAGAGGGCGAGACGCGGCCGGGGTTGGGGCGCGAGGGCGGGAGGCGGGTGCCAGGCTCCCGTCTGCGTCCGCAGCCCAACGGGGCCTATTGCACCCACCACAAGGAGTGCCGGAGCCAGTGCTGCATCAAGCTCGACGAGGCCGGCCGCTACCGCTGCACCCGCTTGAGCGGGCTCCTGGCCCAGTGCCTGCCCTTGGTGAGCCCCTCAGCCATGGGACGGAGGTGCCTCCGGCACGGAGGGGTCCTGGATGTGACTGAGGTCCTGCAGCCGCTGAATGTGGCTGTCTCCAAACCCAGTGGGCGTCCCGTTCCGGGAGAGGCTCACACCTGCTGTCTGGAGACTGGCCTCCAGGTCCGTTTCCGTGAGCAGGAAAGCGCGGACGAGGACTCAGGAAAGGAAAGAGGTAACGGGCAGGATGGGGTCTGCAGCGGTCAGGGTCCCTGTAGGAAGCAGGTGCCATGTGCCTGGTGAAGGGCCATCAGATGTGTGGCTGGGTGGTGAACCCCAAGCACCAGGCGGCATCAGGATTCGCAACAGTGGGGCTGAGGGAGGGGAGGGGGACAGACAGGCCCAAGGGAGGACCTCTCTGGAGCTGCTCTCTCCTTCCACCCCCTCCTTCTGGACCCTTGTGATAGCTGAACGGTAACTGCAAAACCAGAAGGGCAGAGGTCAAGTGACACAGCCCCAGAGGTCAGCCTCCTAGGGCACAAGATGTGCTCAGTGCCCTGGAGACAGTGGGGGGCACATGGGGACATGGGCGGATGGAGACCAGGGTGGGGATCAGAGACAGGGTGGTGGGGGTGGAGACGTGGGGACAGAGATGGGGGCAGAGATGGGGGACGGAGATGGGGGGGCAGAGATGGGGGACGGAGATGGGGGTGGGTATTGGAGACAAGGGAGTGGACGGTTAGAGATGGGGGGCCACAGCAACTGGAGAAGGGCTTCGGGGTTGTGGAGAGAACACGCGGGTGCCATGTGTGTGGGTGTTTAGGTACTAGCTTGAGGCTGGGATTGGTAACTTCTGTCTGATCATGAAGGGGTCTCTGCTCCCACAGGTAAGGACCACATTTTTGAGCACAAAACCACATCTTGCTAACTGTGCTATCATCAACTCCTAGAGTAGCACTGGGCACAGCGGGGGCTCACAGAAATGTGTTCACTGATGGATTCCCACTGCTGCCTTTGCCCCCGAGGAGCCGATTATCCATCGGTGAGGGTGGGAGAGCTACAAGGCACCTGTCTCTCCCTGTGCAATTTTCTCACTTTTTCTCACTTTGTCCTTCAGTGACAGGGAAGAAAAGCTGCAAGGGGGAACCAGCATGGACTTCGCAGAAGCTCACCTGGATCTTGTGCCTGAGTTTGGCTGGGAGCTTGGCTCGTGGGTCCACGCTGCTCTTTCTGGGCTGTGAAAACCTGTGAGGCATTAGACACATCTGTCCCTTCTCCTATCAGTGAACTCCTGAGGCTGATTGTGAGCGTCTGAGAACAAACCGCAGCTACTGGAATCTTCGCATCAATAAACACCTGCTGATTGACCCAATGTGTTTTGTCACATCCCCCCCCCTTTTTTTTTCAGACAACAAAGGTAAAAGCAATCTGGGGAAGTTGAGTAGTGGAGCCTGCTCAGGTCAAGTACAAGGTTGCCTTCCTGAGGATGCGTGTCTAATCAGAGATCAAGTGTTACCTGGAAGGGAAAGGGCCAGAGCTGGAGCATTTAAGATGCACGGCGGCAAGCCCTCCCTATGCACAAATGCCTCTTGTCCTTGCAAGTAGAAATAATCAGTCGATTGTTCCAAACTGAAAAGGGTCCGCTAGCTTGGGGCTGGGATCGGTAACTTCTGTCTGATCATGAAGGGGTCTGACGGACACGAAACACAAGGTATAAGAGAGGAACGGAGCTGGGGACGCACTGGAGGGGCACCTGCTTCACCGGGTCATTCCTCCTTCCCACTCTGGCCCCAGTTCCTGCAGCATCTCTTGGAGCAGATGCCCCGGCTGACTCAGAGCCTGTCCCCACCAGTGGCTTCTTGCTGTTCCCAGAGTGCAGCTCCTTAGTCACCTGGATGACTGTCTTCTGGGGTTTCCATTACCCACACCTGCTGACACTAGGCTTCTTTTCTGGGCTCCGTTAAAAATAATTCCCCTCAATCCTCTCCTCCTCCTTAGCCTGGGCTAAGATGATCCTTGCAGAGAAAGTCAGGAAAAGCCATTGCTTCTATCCTAGTAAGAAGAACAGCTCAGGTGAACCACAAAGCATAGTTAAAAAACAAAAAGGGAAAAGATCTAAATGTAAAACATAAGATGTAAAGCATTTAGAAGAAAAATAGGATAGGGGTGCATGGGTGGCACAGTCTGTTGAGTGTCCGACTCTTGGTTTTGGCTCAGGTCATGATCTCAGGGTCGTGGGATCGAGCCCCTGTGTCGGGCTCTGCGCTCAGCAGGGAATCTGCTGGAGATTCTCTCTCTCCCTCTGCCCCCCGCCCCAGTAAATAAATAAATCTTTAAAAAAAAAAAGATATTTTCTTGACCTTGTATTCAACAGAGTTCTTAGATGTGACCACATGTCACTCATAAGAGAAAAAGTAGATAAACCACTAAAATAACTTTTGTTCTATGACAGATACTGTTTTTATTTAATGATTATATTTATTTATTTTTAATTTTTTATTGTTATGTTAATCACCATACATTACATCATTAGTTTTGGATGTAGTGTTCCATGATTCATTGTTTGTGCATAACACCCAGTGCTCCACGCAGAACGTGCCCTCTTTAATATTAG